AGATTATTATCTTAGCTTGTTGTTTGTATAGCTCTTTTAATTATTAAGACATCATTTGGTTTCTTTTGCATGTCTAATGTAACATGCTTTTCCATGTCATTCTTGTACAACCGTGTCAGTTGTAAATCTACTTTCAACTCAGTCTCAGTCTTGTCAGGTAGAACTTGTTCCTCTTCCATGACATGTCTTAGACACAATCTCTCCATACAAGCAGATGTTTCTGTTGACACTATTGACTATTAACTGTTGACACTATTAAAATTAACTTCTGATTCAATTGCTCAAAAATATCCTTAGTATATGCTTCTTTCCCTCCTTGCTCCCTTTCACCCTTCCTACCTACTTACCTACCATACCCACCTACCTGAGTCATGGGTCCCAACATGCTGTAAACAGACCTGAGAGTTGTGGTGGTATATGGCTATGAGTCTCATTTTTGGAAGCCTGGATAAACTGATGTGTTTCTTAATGATATTGGATTCCCATGACTGATCACAGTCTGCCTTGAGACAATTCAGTGTATAGATAATGTGGTTTCCAATGCATTCTCCAAAACAAACACATAGAGATGCACCATTCACCCAGAGATATTTGATTATAGTCAAGAAGTGATTCTACTCTTATATTATGAAAAAAATATAAGAGGACATTTTCTATGCCATGTTTCAAATAACACATCCTTTTGCACAGCAAACATTCAAAACAAGCTTGCTGAACCCAATAAGAAACCTCAATATTTGTTCAAGCTACTTTTGAAATGCAAACAGTCATAATACCAGATGTAGAGATTTGTTCTGAAGAAGACAAACTGAAATCTATTCTGATACACAGGAAATATTGAGATTGGCAAAATGTTTAAATGAATGTAAATGTCACAACATGTTTTTATACGTACTAGAACTTTGCCCTTAGTGGGCTAAAAAAGAGGGTGTAACTTGAAGCCTTTCTGTTGGATTCCTGGTGTTACAGTAATAATATATAATAGTTCTTACAAATGTCTCTATCTAAATTAGCAAAATAAGCTCCTTTTCAGATCTGAAACAAGAGCTTCTTTGCAAATGATTCATGGCTGAAGAAATTAAAGAGAATTCTGATTGAATCATAATGGTATGTCCAGTAAACCTTTTACATGAGGTGAAGAAGGAATGCCTCTATTATTATGAACACCTGACTGAGGTATCAGAGCCAAAAACAAATTAAAGGAAAATAAACAAGCTCAAGTTTATAATTGATATTATTACCATGATTGTTCCAATTGTTCTAAAAGCCTGTTCTACAAATTTCTGGAATAGGCATTCTTAATTAAATAGCATTTAATTAAGGGTGTGAAATAAATGTAAAATGCTCTTATCTTAGATTTAATGCATATTAATGTAATTATTTGTTGATGGCACTAATGTATAGTGCATGTGGGAAATTATTTGAATGAATACTTAGTTTAGCTGAAGGAGCAGTTTGCACTATTTCCAGTTTAAGGGAAGCAGAGGCTTCATGGCTGTAAGTTAGCTGGGGAAACATCTGTAGATTAATTTCCCCAAGTGGTATACTAGAACTGTGATATTTTTATTCCCATTATCATGAATCTGAAAAAGGCAATCAAGATTCTTTTTGATCATCTTACTCTTTCTATGACATTGACTTTATTCATGTTGGAATTCATAATGGGGTGGCTTGGTGGAAGAATCCTTTTTTGTTGTTACATTTTTATCCAAATAGTCCTCGACTTACAACAGTTCATTAAGTGTTGTACCTTATGATTCTTGATTCTTAATGAATGTATCTTTTCTGTTATATATATTCTGAGAGTATTTGCACCAAGGCAAATTCCTTGTGTATTCAACCACACTTGTCCAATAAAGAATTCTATTCTATTCTATTCTATTCTATTCTATTCTATTGACCATTCAAAGTTACAAGGGGACCAAATAAAGTGATTTATGGCTATTCTTCAGAGTTATAACTTTTGCAGCCTCCCCACGGTCATGTGATCAAAAGTCAGGTGCTTAGCAATTGGTTGATATTTATGATGATTGCTGTGTCCCAGGGTCATGGGATCACTTTTTGTAACCTTCTCACAAGCTAAGTCAATGGGGAAGCCAGATTCACTTAACAACTGGGTTACTAGCTTAACAACTGCAGTGATTCACTTAATAGCTGTGGCAAGAAATGCTGTAAAATGAGACAAAGCTCACTTTACAAATCTCATTTAACAACATAAATTTTGGGCTCAATTGTGGTCGTTAAGTTGAGGGCTATCTGTACCATTTTTTATTCAAAAACACAAGGTGGCAAACATAGCATTCCCTCCACCCATTTCTCCCTACAGAAATCCTGTGAAGTAGGTTGGGCTAAGAGAGAGTTGACTGGCCTATGTCACCCCGTGAACATCTATGGCTAAGCATGGAGACAAACATGGGTCCCCTGTTTTTATATAAAAAATCCTGAATCCAATATAAAAATCAGGAAAGACTGGAAAAGATTCTAAATTGGTTCTGTGAAGAGGGGCTGCCTCAGGACACCCCCCCCAATCTGAACAGATAGGCCTCTGACTGTAAACCACTTTGCTACAAAAAATATAAATGCGCTCACTGCCCTCTCCCAAACTTGCCAGCCCTAAATTCAGAAAATACTGAGCAAGATAACACGGTGGTTTAAACTCGCATTAATGTTGATATGGGAATTGATTTAGAAGGATTTATAAAAAATGTACCTGGATGAAAGTAGTACAGATACTCCTCGACTTACAACCAACATTGAACCCAAAATTTCTTTTGCTAAGTGAAACATTGGTTAAGTGAGTTCTTCTGCCCCATTTTCCATCCTTTCTTGCCGTGGTTGTTAAGCAAATCAATGCAGTTGTCAAGGGAGTAACAAGTGAATGAGGCTGACTTTGCTTGTCAGGTCACAAAAGGTGATCACATGACCCCGGGACACTGCAACCGTCATAGATACGAGCCAGTTGATCCGCGGCTGAATTTTGATCACCTGACCATGGAGTGGCTGTAACAGTCGTCAGTGTGGAAAGCGATCATAAGTCACTTTTTCCAGTGCTGTCATATCTTTGAGTGGTCACTAAATGAACTGTTGTTAAATCAACCACTGTCTGTGTATCACTTCCGTTCTTATTTAGATCTCTAACCAGTGTTTGATGCCATGGACTTTGGTGGGATTATCATTCTTTTTTTCACTTGCTTTTATCATTTGCAGGCATGTTACGTTTTACAGCTGGAGTTTTGAATATGCTATTGTGCCAAAGGTACTTTTTCAAGAGGCAACTGGACCTTTTTAAAATTTTATCTTATTTTTATTTTGTCAAATGCTTACAATATGTTAAAAGGTGTCAAAATGCCTTTTTTTCGAGGATTCGATTTTCCCACTGGGAGAGCTCCAGCGCAAGGATACGGACAACTGTTTGAAAGCTGGATCTTTTTATTTTTTCAGGAAGGCGGAGAACAGCGAGAAGTCTGTGTTCCTGGGCTAGCTAGCTTCTTATGGTAAGTCCCTGTTTTTTTTATACCCTTTTCTTCCTTTGTAAGTTGATTTTGTGTGAGTGTTTGTATTTATGCCTAATGTTTCAAATCCTGTTTGAGTTTGTCTTAATTTCCACTGGAGGGCAAACTCTGCGGGGTGGCCAGATTGTATTATTGGTTTTCTGTAATCTCTTTTAGCTTTAAGATAGTTTGTCATATTTGTTCTGTCTGTCCCTTTTGTAATTTATATTTTGTGTCTTTTGTCTCTTTGTTTTGTTTATTTGGTATGTCCTGTGTTTGTAAGGGTTTTCTAAATTATCTTTTGTTTCCTTTTCCTATTTGTCTAGTTTTAATTACTTAGGCTTTTGTCTATAGGGATTCTTTAATACTTTTATTTGATTCCTTTTCCTATATAAGTTTGTTTTCTGCCTGACCTGATGTTCCCCTTGGGCTTTTCCTGTTTTTTTGTGACACTACTGCCTTCGTGAAATTCCCTTTCCACTAATGCAATAGAAATAAGTATAAACATAAGTTTTAATGTAAGAAATAGGAACTAATAATTTGGGACAATAGGACAGGGACGGTTGGCACGATTGTGCGCTTATGCACACCCCTTACAGACCTCTTAGAAATGGGGTGAGGTCAATAGAGGTTAGTTTCAGGGTAAAAGAGTGAAAGTTTGAGCAGGTGACAGGAGAATCAGGTAGTGAGTTCCAGACCTTGACCACTCTGTTGCTGAAATCATACTTCCTGCAATCAACTTTGGAGTGGTTTACATTTAGTTTATATCTGTTGTGCGCTCGTGTTGTTGGAGGTTAAAGCTGAAATATTAATTAACTGGTAAGACGTTGTAACATGATTTTATGTACCTATGCTTTTTCTTTGAAAATGTTTTGCTTCTCATCCAAGAAGCTTCTTGAGCTCTGAGTTGAAGAAGCTTCTTGGATGAGAAGCAAAAGGTCTTCAAAGAAAAACAAGAAAGTCCAGTAGCCTCTTGAAAATGCACCTTTGAGACAACCATGACCTGGATGACTGAGGGACTCCATAGACGATGAGGCGATTACTTGTGTTTTAGCAGACTCTTATGAAGTGAGTGGCCTACAAATAAAGTCAAATCAATGAATTAAGGGATCTTCAGCCAGGGCGGACCTTCCCATGGATCGAAGATGTCATGTAGATGTAACTCACTGATTTGAAAGCAAGCCAGACGTTAAGACTGAACTCAAGAATGTTTGCTTTTGAATGACGCATGCGCAAAGAGTGCGCCACGCCCGGAAACTTTTCTTCTAGCAGACCCCCAAGCCCCCCAACAGACATTTTCCTCCAAACATCAGATAGGCAAAAGGCGCGACTCACGTGGATGGGGGTGGGGCGGGGCGGGGCAGGTTTAGAGGAAGGAAAGCCCCGAATGGCTCTCGGTTTTCCGAATTCGGGATTTGATAGGCTGGAGACATCGGGCCGGCGGACGGCTATTGGAGCGGGGCTGACTCGCGTCACAAGGCCCGCCCGCCGACGCTGCGAGGGCTTCAGGGCTGCGCGCGAAAGGCTCCTTGTTTCAAGCGAGCGCGGGAGTCGCGGTTGGAACATCGGCGCGCGGCCTCTCAAAGGGAGCCCCAGAGTCCCCCCAGGTTTGCCGTTTCTCCCTTTGCCTTCCGCGCTTCTCACGGGTTCAGAGGCGCTTTTCTAAGGCGGGGGGGTGTCATTTCGGAACGGCAACACGCTTTGCCGGTGGCTGAAGGAGGGGAAGGGGAGCCATTTTCCGTTGGGCGAGCCGCCTCCCCCGGAGTCGCTCCTGGGGTCCCTGCGCTGCCCAGCTCTCCCTCCCCCACCACTCCAGTTTTCAACCGACATCCTTCCCGGGGAGAACGGGAATTGGAGTCCATCCTCTTGAGGGATCCCCCGAGGCTGCCCTCCCATTTCATCACCCCTAAATTTGGGTTTTTTTTCCCCCTTTAAAAACAGATTCGGTGCGAGCCAAGGTTTAAAAGATAGGCTGGGACTTCAGAAGTCAGGGCTCCAAACCTACTTATGCTCAGCGGGGCTTAGTATTTAAATTTTAATGTTATTTATGAAGGGTCTATTTAGATCCGGGGTCTCCAACCTTGGCCACTTTAAGACTTGCGGACTTCAACTCCCAGAATTGAAGTTGAATTGTGGGAATTGAAGTGGCCAAGGTTGGAGACCCCTGATCTAAATAATAATAATAATAGTTTCTGTTTCTATCAAATAACACTTCGGTCACTTAAATGAGGAATTGAGATGCTTTCTAAATGAGGCTTTCTGGCCCATTAATAAACTTTTTTTAAAAAAGCGTGCATGCAAATAAAGCCGGAGGGCTTGTTTTAGTCTTGGCGGCATAAACATGTAGCTGCAAGTGTTGCTTTTTGTTGGTGACCTGCTTTCACCTAGGAGTAGAGGATACCTGTGCAAGATGCAACATGAGGCTGGCTTGTCCTTTTCAGAACAGTTGGGTTGTTTGTTGTTTTTTGAATTCTTGTTCCAAAGTCCTCAAGTTTCTTTTCATTTGTAAGCTTCCAGTGTTAGAATGACTAGGTTGAAAAATTTAGCCGGATGCCTGAATAAAAGGAGCTTGAGATACTTTTGACTGTGCAGGATAATTCTGTTTGTGTTAATGTTTTCATTGTGCTTGTTTTAGGTTTTGGCTTTAAAAACAAAGACATGAATTCTAAAATGAAGCCGCAATCAAATACCGAAAAGCATCCCTCAGTGAAGGTAACTAAACATGTTAACAAAGTGCTAAGGGCAACACTTATGAATTATACAGGTAGTCCTCGACTTACAATGGTTCATTTAGTGACCATTCAAAGTTACAATGGCACTGAAAATAGCAACTGATGACCCCCTTTTCACACTTATGACCATTGTAGTATCACGTGATTTACATTCAGATGCTTGACAGTTGCAATATTCCAGGGTCTTGTGATCCCCTTTAGTGATGTTCTGACAAGTAAAATCAGTGGGGAAACCAGGTTCATTTAACCAGGTTATTAATTTAACCACAGGATTCACTTAACAAATGGGGCAAGAAAGGTCGTAAAATGGGGCAAAACTCACTTAACAAATTTCTCAGCAACATAAATTTTAGGTTCAATTGTGGTCGTAAGTTGAGGACTGCCTGTATCAGTTGCTATTCATATACTCTTGTTATTTCCTATAAACATATGTCATAGAATACATGGATAGTAAACTGGTATTTTGTGCATAAAACTAATGACTTGGGCTGATAAATTTCATTTCAATATATGAAGCACAATTCCATGTTAAATTAATCAACACTTGTTCAAACTATTTTTATAGAATAGAATATTGGCCAAGTGTGACTGGACACACAAGGAATTTGTCTTGGTGTAAATACTCTCAGTATACATAAAGAAAAGGTACATTCGTTAAGAATCAAGAATCATAAGGTACAACACTTAATGATAGTCATAAGGGTACAATCAACAAATCATACTAGGAAACAGTCAATATAAATCGTAAGGCTACAAGCAACAAAGTTATAGTCATACAGTCACAAGTGGGAGGGGATGGGTGATAAGGAATGATGAGAAGATTAACAGTAATAGTAGTGCACACTTTGTAAATAGTTGAACAGTGTTGAGGGAATTATTTGTTTAGCAGAGTGATGGCTTTCGGGAAAAAACTCTCCTTGTGCCTAGTCGTTCTGGTGTGCAGTGCTCTATAGCATCGTTTTGAGGGAAGGAGTTGAAACAGTTTATGTCCGGGATGTGAGGGGTCTGTAAATATTTTCACAGCCCTCTTTTTGACTCGTGCAGTAAATAGGCCCTCAATTGAAGGCAGGTGGGTAGTAATTGTTTTTTAAATCCCCTCCCCCTTTAGTTCTAATTTAGCATTTGAGAGAGATTCTGCTGTCAAGTTGCATTGACAGAAGATACACAAATGCCACAATTTTACTGAAGTTCATTTTCTGTTGAACTTCAGGGTATTCAATAGACATAAATTTGACATTTAAAGTTATTTAATGTCTTAACTAAGAGCAGGGGAAGGAATAGCTAGTGGAGGGCTAATTGCTTCATACTTCTGAGATCAAATTGGCCAAATTTAGTGGCGATAGGAAAGAGAATCTATAGGAAGTCCAGTAACAAATATCCTGTACAATTATATGTTGATTGTGTGAATGAGAGTTAAAGTCCAAAAAGAGCCTTTTACCATTGTTATACATGATGCAGAACTTTTCCTAAATGAGTTTGTATATTTAGGACTGCTAGCATGATATGAACATCCTAGTCATCTTAATCCTTTAATTCACTTCTTTGTTCCAACATTGTATGACATGGCTGATTTTTATAATTTTATCTTGGACAAAATGTGAAGGTATAATATCCAAAATTAGGATTTCAATACTTAATGCTGTTCTCAATAAGCTTGTCAACAGATGAACATAAAATAATTTTCATTTCTGGAATTCAGTTTTGAATTGCTGAAAGTATATATTTAACTGAACAATTATGTTACATTTGTTCATTGTGAAAATATCAATATCCTAAAAGCAAGAAGTTATACTTAAATTATTTTCTGTTACTGAAATGTTTTATAACAATTTCAGACAGGGTCAAGGGTCACTTTTGAAATTCTGCTTACTATTTTCCAAAATGTTTAACTAACTGATTTAGTGATTAAAACATCTAGCAATATTTTCTATACATTAATATTCCTTGCTATTCCAGGGCTGGATTTCAGGGTTTAGCTCTCAGGTCTTTAACTATACTAGTTGTGTGTTTATCAAGCATTGCTGGGGTGGGAAAATTAACATGGAATTGGGAGTTAATGAGCAACATTATGTGCACATAAACAATGTCATTGAATAATGCTAAGTTTTCTATATTGACCACCTTTCATGGTAGTGCAAGAAAAAAGTTAGTAGTGAACAGACTATTGACGTGTCTCATTTGATTCCCACAACATGACTATTTTTCCCTGGATGACATCTGGAAGATGTCAGTTGTATATTTGTTTGATGCTGATATCACCCAGCTCCAATTGACTCTTATGTTCAAAAGATTTATTCAAAATACCTGTCCTAAGACCATCTTCTGCAGATTTTTGTAGAAGGAAAAAATTATCCTTGTGAATGTACTTGAATTGTAAAAAGAAAGAAAAATGCATTTCATATCATTGCCAAAATCAGATTTATTAAAAAAAATTGCATAATAAATTCATGAGGCTGATTGTCCCTTAGCAATTTGTTAGGTAGTTTGAAAAAAAAATTGTGCTAGTTTTGATTGGTTGATTGATAGTTCATTACTGTCTGCACTATCATATTCTGGACCAGTTGTTGCTTCCAGTCGTTCTTCAAGGTTAGCTCCATGTAGAGCACATTGCAGTAATAAACATCGGAAATCATTAAGGTATGAGTGACTGTAAGAGTCTTGTGATCCAGGAAAGCACACAAGACAAAGTTGTACAAAAGTGGTTGAGTTGTGGAATAACCTAAAGCAGAGGTCTCCAACCTTGGCAACTTTAAGACTTGTGGACTTCAACTCCCAGAATTCCTCAGCCAGCAAAGTCCACAAGTCTTAAAGTTGCCAAGGTTGGAGAGCCCTGACCTAAAGTATCTTTTAAGTCCAGTTTCATCTTAAGTTACAGAGGTGAAACTTGGCCCTTTGAACTTGTCTCCTTGTTCACCTAAAAGGTAATGATTGGAGCTTGGGTACTAAGTATACAGAAACTTATTATGGTACTACTGGCAAAGTACAGAAGAAGGAATAATAATTAGATAAAGAAGACCTACATTGTCTTGAGATGAAATGGGTATCTGACCAATGTGTTCTTTGCTCATCAATATTCTTCGTGTTTACTTTGTACTTGCTATCTTTTTAACCTTCATCGGTACTTATTTGGTTAAACATAAAATATTGCAAGTAATAGGTTAATCCAAGCAAGGGATGGCTTTGAATATTTCTTGAATCTAATTCAATAGCTACAGTAATAATCTGAAATTAGTGCAGTGTTTGTTCCCAAAGTCGCTGGCAGTTGTCCTCAAGTTCAACAGTAAATTAATTGGCAGCAGAGACTTTACCGTGGGAAAGGTTAGCACTTGTCATGTGAAATATAGTGTGAATCACAGACTTTCTCACGCTAGTGTGACATTATGTTCCTGCTATCCCTGTTTGATTATCTACTATTGTTTACTGTCTCATGGTGGCAGTGTAACTTCAAAAAAAAAAAAAAGAATGCAGGATATTGCTATTTACACATGACAGGGTGCCAGGCATTCTTTTCTTCCTCCCCCCAACCTCCAAAAAACCAGTGCTCTGGCTAGTTCAGTATATTGTCTCTTAAACAAATAGGAACCTTTAGAACAATATATTCTATGCAGTATTTTACTTGTATATGTAAACCTCTCTCTCAAGCTTTCTTTAGTAATTATATTATTGATGAAATTATAATAAACAGAACTACTTTGAAGTTAACTTCCACTCTGACTAGGTACAATGTAAATACTACTGTTGATATAAGACTGAATTGTGTAGTGAAGTTCAAAGGTAGACTTAACAGTGTATAAATTAACCTGAATGTTTATAACTGCTTAGGTGTCATCAACCTATTTCTGGACTTGAAAATAATGCAGAGTAAAACTACATCTGAATGAATCAATGGTTTCTTGATGGTGTCTAATTATGATTTCTATCATGGGAGGGCAGTGCCAGGAGGTTCTTTGGCCTAACTTACAAGTACTGACTTTACATTTTGTAACTTTTAGAAAAAGTTCCCATCAAATATAATAACATTCTTACTAAATGTGAAGTGTTGGTAGTGTTTAAATATTAATATAGTCCACTTTAAAAATTAGCTTCCTCTATATGTTGTTTCCCAGCAGGTTTCTACAAATAATACAAACTGCACATCACAGAGGCAGACCCTTAAGATGATACAGCCATCTATTACAGGTTGCCTGGTGGGCAGGGCAAATGAGGTATGAATTTCTTTTGGAACAGAATCTAGTTAGAAGTCAGTCCATTATGAGCTGACACATGAATTGTAGTTTGCTTTTAATTAAACTAATTATGCTGCTACTTTAGTATGTATAAGAGTCCTAAATAAATGGTGGGCAACATTACAAAACAACAGTTCTGAAGTACGAAGCAGACCAAGTTGTACAGCAAGCTTGGAGATCACTGCACCTGGTCCACTTTGCACTCTCATTACCCCAAGAACATTAAATTAAGAGAGTTTGGTTGCAGACATTTCAGTACCCAGGTAACATCATCAATGCAGGTGGGGAGGAGGTTGCTTCCTATTTTTATATAGTGGCTTCCCAGTTTGGATGGAGTTGTGATTTTCTCCTTGGTGGTTCTTTGATTAGGGTATTGTTTCTGGACTCTTCGTTTTAAGTTTAATTAAATGGATGGAAGCATAGGTTGTCTTTCACCTTCAAAGATCTAAACAATTAAAACTGCTCATAATTTATAGCAGGCTAAGTCTTCAATCAAGAAGAAATTTTGCAATGAACAGCTTATCTCAAAAGTATCCAAACCTGAAGCTGCTGATAAAGTAGAACACAGAAACATAAGAGGAGTGATCCAACCTTCTGATCTTACAGCAAAAGGTTTGTTCCACTTATAATTACCATAGCAAATTATCATACTGGATTAAATCAGCGCCCCCCCCCCCAACCTTTCCGCTTGCCAGTCTGGCATTGTGGGGAAGGGGCATGTGAGTGGTGGGCACACGCTCACGGCTCCATTTGTGAGCAGTGGGTGTGCGTGCCCTCCACTTGGCCGAATGGAGCTTCATGTGTGAGCTGCTTGCACTTGTGCATGAAGCTCCATTCATGCTAGCAGCAGGTACTTGTGCACGAAGCTCCACTTGCACAAGGGAAGGGTGCTTGCACTCACTTGCCCATCTCTCCCGCAGTCTAGTTTCAAACCGGCCGTGTCCCAGAGGTTGGGGACCCCTGTGTTAGATGGAATGCCATCATCTTGTTTTCTGTAGCATCTAGCTAGAGGCCTTTGAAATCCCCCAACAAAAGAAAGAGCTCTTGAATTGGAGTTATAATCAAGTAATAATATTTAGAAGTATTTACTGCTGAACATGGAGAGCTGCAGTTTTTAAGAATTATCTGATCTTATGTGTTATGTTTAATGCATTATATAGAAAGAAAACTTAGCTATTGGGACTTTTAATTAAACAGCTGAGAATTGAGAGTCACTGGTCTTTTTGTGTTCAGTATGTTTGTGCAGGCACAGATCTAGAGTGGTATTTGATTGGGACTATTATGAAAGGGTGGAAGTGATGGTTAAGTGACTATTCTCATGAAAACCAATTTGATGTTATTTCATTTATGTATCATATCAGCAGAAAACTAAAAAAGCCAGTAACTATATAAAACTGTCATCATTAAAAACTAAACACATGAGCAGGGAGGATGATGTTAGCCATAATAAGGGGGGTTGTTACAGGATCTCCCTGGGATCCCCAAGAGCCTGATGGCATAGCCAAGTCTTGAGACATTTGGAGAATGTTGAAAAGAAGATTCCATAACACAGATGCCACAGCAGAGAAGGCCCATCTTCTGGCACCTGCCCAATGTAATTTCTTAATAGGACCTGAAGCATGCCTTCTCTGCCAGTTTTGGTGGGACAAGCAGATACAGTCAGGAACAGGTGGTCCCGCAGATAACATGGCTCCATGTCATGAAGGGCTTTAAACGTCAAAACCAGCATCTTAATTGGACCTCTAAGCACCCCTGGCAACCCCGTGCAGCATGTAGAGCACTGGTATAACGTGGTGTTGTAGGGGCATATAGCTGCTTGGTCTCAAGACAGCCTAGAACTGGGCTTCCAGCAAGAGGCACAGAAATAAGGTCCCGTTTAGAGTCCTGTAAAGAATAAGAATGATACTGAAAAATAAGAGCACCCAGATACTGGAGAGATTGTGACCTAAGTGCAAGTAATTTTAGTTGAGCTTGAATAGAGACACTCTTGACATTCTCCTGTTCGAGATGGACATGTAACCGAACCAGGAGCTACAAGGTAGAATAGAAAGCAAATTTAAAAAATGGTAAATAAATGAGGCTTTACCCCAGCTGTCAAGCCTGTGGTTCCAGCTCAGTCAGCCTTCAAGATACCTCTGGAATAATCTGGGGGTGGAGGTGGTCTTTTTCCCTATCTGCCACTACCATGAGGAATTTTGTGGTTTTAAAATTGTGGTAATGGAATCGAGTAGATTTTTTAAAGAATCCTGTTACCATAGTGTTTCATATGATTTCTGTTAAAATAATACTTTATATCTGGTGGGCGAGTATGATAACTTTATGACTTGTGGACTTTAACTCTTGGAATTCCTGAGTCAACATGATGGCTTAGAAATTCTGGGAGTTGAAGACCACAGGTTGTAAAGTTTCTGTGGTTGTCCACCCCTGTTTTATGTTGACTTAGGTCTGATGTTGCTACAGTAATTCCAATAAATTATGTGCTGGATTTAGTATCAGGGTTTTTTCCCCCCAGGCAATCCTTCATTCCAGTATTGGAAGGAATTGGCTGAGGAGAGGAGGAAAGCCCTGCATGAGGTTTTACAAGAAAATGAAAAGGTAACGTTCTAAAGAAGTCACAGAAGACATGCTTTGGAAATCTCCATTATCTAAAATCTACTTTTTTCTCTAGTTGCATCAAGAAATTGAATTAAAAACTAGTGAAATTGCTCGTCTAAAAGAAGAAAATGAAGAACTGGCAGAACTAGCTGGCCATGTTCATTATATGGCAAATATGATAGAGGTAAGCTGCTCAGTTGATAAGATGTTGACTGGAGTTTATACCTTTTGGAAATTTAAAAGTAAGTAAATGATTAATCTATGCGGGGTGGAGGAAACCGCGGTCTTGAATATCCTGCTACAAGTCTCCTTTGCATGGCAGATATGATCTTTTGAACCCTGATCTTGATTTTTCAACTTTGAGGTTGAGCAATAACGCTTGGAGTTTGATATTGTTCCATAGTGCTCTCGGCAGATTACAAGGTCAGCATATTGCCCCCAACAATCTGAGTCCTCAGAAGGATGGAATGTTGAGTCAACCTTGAACCTCCCTCAGGATCAAATTCTAGGCTGAGGACAGAGTTTGACTGCAATACTGTATTCCAACCACTGTGCCACCAGGGAGGATGAGCAGTGTGTAGTCTATGTGTTGTTAATCCTTAGACCCTTTTCATTTATCAAATGTATATGTCTGCTCAGCACAAGGAATGCCTCAGGGCATTGTACAATACTAAATTTAAAAAATAATATATAAATCCAATCATTTTTTTAAAAAAACAGAACGCACAATAGGAAATGAATATTAATTCTAGTAAGGGAGCAACCTCAAAAATCTCATCAGTGCTTACCTGCACTCTGTGGCACCTACCTTTAGTGGCCCTCACACACTCACCTACATTCTGTAGCATCCATCTGCAGCACCTCCCTTGCCCAGGGCTCTTACCTAACAGCTTGTTTGCCTCTTCCTACTTAATGACCCAGGCAGTCCTAGCATTGCAACAGCAACAAGGACTTCTGTGATTGCCTTCAACTGAGTGATGTGGTCAGGTAATGTTGCATTACACCACTGAGGTTGCTTAGTGATGGAAATTCTGACCCCAATTGCTGTCATAACTCAAGGACCATCTGTATGTATTTTGTTTATAATTTTATACCGGTATAATTTGAAATGTAAAGCTAAATTTATCAAGAATAGAATGTCTTTAACACCATTGTTTCTCTTATCTAGCAAATAACTGGAAAAGCACCCGAAAGCCTAGACATTTTGAAAGGTTTAGATCTGGAAGAAATTGAATATGAAAAAAATGATTCTGCTGAGGAAGATTTAAATGGCGAATCTGAAGAGGAACATTCAAAATTTCCCAACAGTTCTACAGATGAAGTTGCAGATGTGCCTTTAAATTGAGAAAGTAACCTCTGAAAGTGTTGGGCTGGGGGGAGGGGGGGAGAGAGCAATCAAGAAATCCTCTGAAAACTACAGGTTTATCTAAGATTTGGAAGATGGGATTTCACTACTAATGTGTTGCAGAGTGACTAACAGTCTTAACAAAAGTATTAGATTGTATGTAGTCACTTATTAATTGGAAATACTGTGTATTTCAGCTTGTAAATAAGTTTTTATTCATTTATGACATTTGTAATTACCAAATAAATCTACCCACACAATTATGGCTTTCAAAATGGACCTTATTTCTTGATACATCATATTACATACTCTAGTTTTCTCTATCCTTGCTTATCTTTATCCTTGCTTAGAGACCTCTTCCATTATAGCACAATTCCCAAATAAGTATTTTGAAACAAGCAATTTCTCTTCAATTCTTCCCAAACCAGACATGCCTCTGTTTCCGATTTTCAGGATTAATTTGCAGGTTTATCTTGTCTCAAAAGGTAATGTCTTTTGAATGTAAAACACTTTTTCAAAGGACTTTATTAAATCCACAGCTTGAGACCCCTCAACTTACCCTCTAATTAGCCCTGTGCATGAAATAGACAAAGTGGTGGCGAACCTTTTAGACACCAAGTGCCCAAAGTGTGTGTGTACATGCCCGCATGCCCAAACTGCAAGGCATGCAAGCGCATGCGCAGCAGACATCCAAAGACCAGCTGGCCAGTGGGAGGCGAGGCATCCCAACAGTGGCAGCTCTGAAGAGGTGATATCTTTTTCTTTTGTGAGCTTCTGTTTCATCATTTGCAGGGAAACTTCTGTTCCCTGGAAATGATGGAGAGAAACGCCACGGAGAAACAGTGGAGCTGAGTTGGGGCGATGGCAAGCGTGTGCTCACAGAGGGCTCTGCGTGCCAACCTCTAGTACGCATGCCACAGGTTCGCCACCACTGGAATAGACACTATTTGGAAGAAAACTACCATGTTTTGTTTCTAAGTATTGTTAAACCTTTATAAAATTAGTGCAGTATAAGAGAACATATTTAATTCCACTGGGTTATGTTTAGCCGAATAGATTAATCATTTCACAGGGAAATGAATTGCCCTGGCCACTTCACTTTGCATAAATGTTTAACCTGTACATCACCTGACCTGTTTTTTTTTTGCCTTGTTTCTGATTTTTGTAACTAACTTGATAAAGATTTCAAGAAAATTTGAGAGCTGCTTATTGTGCCATTTTGATTAGTTTTATTAAAGTTACTTTTCTGCTGTGGATCTCATTTTTTTACTTACTAGACAAAACTTCTAAAAATAGTTTTATTCTGAAGTTTGGACTACATGGGATAGGGATTACAGCCGTTTCCAACTGGGTATTCCCCTGCTAAAGTAATCTACAGCCCCATCACCTCAGTCAATCAAACTGAAACTATCTTCTCTACAAATGGTAAGACTTCTTCCCAATCTAAGACCAATGATGGATTATCAAATGTTTAGCTTAATGGGATTCCTAATAGTTTTCAATAATTTTCAACTAACAGCGCATGAGGTGTTATTTGTATAACAGTTTATTTGTATTTTGAACGCTGTTTATTGTTCTTAAAACCATTTTTATTGTTCTTAAAACCATTTTCACAAAGCATTTCTTCAGATTGATAGCATGTAGCAAAATGAAAGCAGGTGCCATCACCTAGCCAATCTTGGTTGAATTCAAAAATAGCTAAGGGGACTTCAATGTGAATAGTTCTCGAAAGACCCACTAGGACAGGGGTGGGCAAACTACGGCCCGGGGGCCACATCCAGCCCGTTGGTCTTTTTAATCCAGCCTGCTGAAGATTGGTACAGAATTAAGGTTTGATGTGAATGATTGCATTCATTTGATTTTGACTTGTAATGACAGGCATTTCGACACCAGGTGGCGGCCCGTCTGTCAAATTTTAAAAGTCAATGAGGCCCCCAAGCCAAAAAGTTTGCCCACCCCTGCGCTAGGAGACATCAGGGTTAGATGCTAGGCTAATAAGTTGAACGTCCAGGCAGAAAGAAATGTTCTGTTGAGTTTAACTCTGGATGTTTATCCTTTTTTAATTCTTTATTGGTTGAATACATCTTAGAATTAAACATAAATTTAAACACTAAGCAGTAATTTTATTGTGTCAAAATATTTGAAGTAAGAAAGACCTAGTGCTTCTCAGTAGCAGAATTATTTGTTCTAACACATATTCCCGTAATTCTATTTGTATGCTTCCGTGCTTGGATATCCCATAAAGATGTACATTAATGTAGCATAGTTTTGGGGCCAGCCAAACCATTCCATATTAGAGAGATATTCCAGCCTTTTCTCTAGTGTTTGACCACCAATTTCATGAAATAATCTAATATAAGACATATTATTACAGCAGACAACAGTCATAAGATAACAAACCCAGAATTTCACTAGAACTACATCTGGATCCGCTTCGGCAGAGTCTTCCTCTTCTTCAAGATAGGAAAGCATAATTTCGGGAAGGTGGTGAGCTTTGGCTTCGTTTTGGTTTACAGGGTTAATGTAGCATACACTAGATAGTCCTTTTAAAACTAAGATTCTGACTTTGGTGGATGTATCTGGCATAATCAAAATATCAACCATGTCCTGAATATATTGTGTAGAAAGATTTCCAGCACCAACACCACCTGTAAAGTAATCAGTTTGTAAATTCTGAGCCACCTTCTCATTAAACAAAGGTATTTCCCAAATTTTCAATAAGTGACAAGATGAAGCAGATTCTTCCCCCTTTCCTGCCCTCATTCAACTTGCAGAATTTGTTCAAATGATTTGAATGCAAGTATTATCACTGCTGCCTGAAACAAACAGCAGCCACCAAAATGGCATTTCTGCTTCTCGGTTTAACCCAGAGCAATCTCTTCCAAGTCCAGTACAGCAGAACAGGATCTGTTGGACGTGTCTGCACAGAAGGCAACAGTTGAAACTGGAAATGTTACCGTCGCAAGCAGAAGTGTCTGCTATAAAAAAGGATCTGTAATGGGTATATTATTGCAATTAAATGGCAGTCTACTCTTACCCTGCACAGCTCTTACATGGGTCAGTTTCTAAAATAAAATCTTATTTGAAGAAATGTCAAGTAGAAAAAAATTCTGAATTAAAAAAAATAGCATAAACAAACTAAAGTACTTTTCCTGCATGAAAATGTATTACCTGTGGTTCCCCGAAAATAAGACATTGTCATATTTTTGGGCATAGGCTTATTGGGGGTGGGGGGTGTCATTTTTTCCATATATGGGAGGCCCACTTCTTGCTCACAGCTACAATGGGGTAGGAGACTGTACAGTGCACTAGTGCCACTGCTGTGAGGCAGGGGATGGAGCTGCCCCACGTGCCCCATATCTCAGGGCCCCACAGCCAGCCAGCCATGCCCTGAAACCTGCCTAACTTCCCAGCAGCGGCACCAGCAATCCTGCATGGCCGCTGACCCAGTCTGGTTGCAATGGAGCAGGTAAGCCGAGAGATGGGACAAAGTGGGCAGCCAGCCAGCCGCGGGGGGCTCATCTTCATGTCTCTCAGCTTTCCCACAGCCTGCACAGTACGATGGGATCACCTACCTTCCCCCAGCACATCTGCTGGTGCCATCGCACGAATGAGCTTCCTCCACCTGCCTGTCTGCTCCTCCCCACTGAGTCTCAGCTTTCCTGTGTCCCACATGGCACATCAAGATTGTGTGCCTCACACCCGCTTCTGCCTCCACCTGTTGGACAGGTAATCAACTCACCTGTGCTGTGCAGGCTGTGGTTGCTGCTGGACATGGTTGGTCCCCATGCCCTTGCTGCCTCCCGTGCTGGCCATGCCCCTTCCATTGATGACCACCTTAACTAGGGCTTGTTTTGGGGGTAGGGCTTAAATTAGCATGCTAAAAAAAACAGGCTAGGTGTTATTTTCAGGTAAATGGTACTTTGCGTGTTTGCTCCATTGCATATGTGGCTTTGAGTGAAATTGGAAGGATGGGCTTTAAAGTTTGTTCTCACGATTAAAAAGATGGGGTATGACAGGAAAAAGGAACAATTACCATTCCTGCTTCTAAACACCATTTTTTATTGAGCAATTGGGAACTTTAATAATGATAACTTTCCGGCCTTTTTAACAACGCAGTAATTTTAAACCACATCTCTTCTAAGTCCCAACTAACAGGCAAGGGTACAAAGGTTCTACTGTAGCTGAAGACCCCATAATACCTGTATCTCGAGCTGACTCTAGTCTAATCAAATCTGCTTCCTTAATATTTAGGAGAACAATGGCAAAACCTTTCAGGCTTTGTGTGTATCAAAAATTCATAATGTCTAACCTGATTCTGCTGATGCTTCACCCCCACCCTGAACAAAGTAGAAATATTCCCCCCCTCCCCCCTGTATGCACGTGAATAGTGCCACTTGGCAGCACCAAAACTGGGCCTGAAGTTGAGACCCAGGCCTCGATTTTAACCTTAGGGACACTGCTGACACTCAAAAAGACCAGCTTGGAGAATGGTGTAATTGGCCCCATGGCCCAGCAGTCCCCATGAGATGCCAGTATCACTTACTGTTAGACTGTGCTCTCTTTCTGCTGACAGCCCCTCTGACCTGAGGCTACTCCAGATTACACAAGGCCTGTTCTTGTAGAATGTTCTTCAGCAGCCTCCAAAAACTCTGCAAAAGCACGTCCCGTTCTTGTATTGTCCCCCTCCCCACGTGAATTCTAGAGGAACTGGAGGTCATGCAAGAATACACCCCACTTACATGCAGCCTTCACAGCCTAAAAATTGTGAGAATGGAGTTGCTTTTAAAAATAGCTGGTTGGTGAATGCTGGCATGTCACCCAAAATGTAGCATGTCACCTTTGACACCTTTAAGGATAATATATTACATCTTATTTCGATGAATGTAGAATATGTTAATCTCCTCCTTTGGAATCTCTTATCCCAAACTTAGCTCAATCTTTTATGCGTACCTGTATAAGCCAGTAGGCCTATATATAATGCAGCCTTGGCTCTTTCTTCCAGTGGCAGCTCTCTATTTCTTAGATCCATGGCATATATTTTAATTTTGTGGTGGTGGAAGACTGGATCTATCAGCTTCAAAACTGGTTCCTTTGCACTCCTATAGAAGTTATAACAAGTTTTTAGTGCACTAAATACAATTCCCATATTGCCTAAAGAAGTATGCCTTCTTTCATCAAGTAAAGAAATGCTGGAAAAATCAATATATTGATTCAGTTACTACAAAACACACTCATAACTGGTAACTAGGTAATGAATTCTGTAAACAGAATGTGCAATGTAACAGCACAAGTTCTTAACGATGTCATACACAGAGCTATTCCTGTGTTTTCTAGTTTACTTAAATCCTTTAAAAAGCATTTCTCTTAATTTTGCATTCGCCACTTAATTAAAAAGATACCTTCTTCAGCTCCACATTCCAATAAATGGCAGAACAGCAAGTTGTAGCTCACCTTTGGAAAAATCCAATATTTAAGAGCACTTGCTAATTGAACTGTGTTCTAGAATTAGCGAAGTTGATGGTTAAAATTCCTTTTAAAAATACATTCTACCAAAAGTGATCAGGCACCAAGGGAAGCTTTAAAACAGAAGGAAAGAGTTTGCTTTCTTCTAAATATTAAATCATAGCTTCCATCATCTGGGAGCACACGTTTCAACTGTTAACAATTTCAGTGTCCAGGAATATTTGCAGGAAGATGTCTAAACCCTGCTTTGAAAGCCTTACACACCCATGAGCCCTTACAGGTAGTCCAGAGTAAAAGTACAAGCTCTGTCTTTATTGTATATTAACAGAATTTTGCAAGACTGAAACATATTTCTCCCCTCTTCCTTTTCCTTTCTGGAAAAATGGGATAATTTCATCTGAAACATTTCCTATGCCTTCCCCCCTATGGGCCGAGAAATCTTTTACACGCTAGTTGTCTAGTCTGCGGCTCTTCCTCCTGCCTCCCAAAGTCATTTCCACATATCTTTGCAGGAACTGATTGCCAATAAATGCAAGAAAACTTTATCACATGCTATTTCGTATTTCAAAAATAATGTTTATTATAACTTAAAGGAAGCAGTAAATACCAGAAATAACAAATACCACAAAATTAGAAGGCATATATAAGTCAAGAATCAGTACAAAAGACGACCATAAAAGATTGCAAGCTCATGTGAGGAATGTGCTATAAAAACCTGAACATAATATTTTCATGTTATGAGAAATGCTTGGTTTTTTTTTCAGTAGACTTTTCAGTAACTGTACAAATGTAATTTTAATCAAGTAATACTTATATGTGATTTATAAATATACAAATATATACATTCACAAAAATAATGTCTTAACCATGCATTTGCAAAAGAAGGACTTTATTAGATATTTCTAAACAAAACTCCAAAATCTACCTGATTCAGAGAATACTTGATTGATTTTTTCTGCTTGTAGGCCCCAACTGTAGCAGAGAAACTAATTGTGTTCATAATTATAAATCCACAAAAATAGTAGCACGGAGTTCCATTAAACATTTTGGAGCTGCAATTCTATTCCTTCTTGTTTGAAAGTAAACAGGATAAACTCAAGAGGATTTTCTTCAGAAAAAGTCTATGTCATATTAAGCTATAAATTATCTTGATCACTTTACGCTCTATAAGGCAGTCCACAAATTATGTGTTATCATTTGTCATATTGAAAAATAAAATTAAATAAATCAAGGTCTTAAAAAGTAACAGGTAAATTTCTCCTCCCTGAAATTTTGGAAATTCAGGGCTTACCTGTCATTAAGTATATACTCTATACTTCTCTGTATGGGGGGGAAAAAAGCAAATTTAATTTTTCACTTGCTTTACACAACTTACACAATTGGTTATCAACGAAAATGTAGTCTAGCATTAATGTGCATTCTGAGTGAAGGGCAGGAAAAAAAGGAAGAATGGATATTTAAACACGGGACATAAATCACACTATCTGGAATTTCACATCCTTAGTTTGGCCAAATTTTGAGTATTGCTTATGCTAACCTAGATGGCTATCAGTAATAAAACCAGACGGGCAGATACTTGATGAGATTCAAAGAGGATGGGAGCCAGAACGGCTTTAAATAGCAATAGCACTTCGACTTATATATCGCTTCACAGTGCTTTACAACTCTCTCTAAGCGGTTTACAGAGTCAGCACATTATCCCCAACAATTTGGGTCCTCATTTTACCGACCTCTGAAGGATGGAAGGCTGAGTCAACCTTGAGCCTGGCAGATTCGAATTGCCAAATTGCAGGTAGCTAGCAGTCCGCAGAAATAGCCTGAAGTACTGCATTCTAAGCACTGCGCCACTGTGGCTCTTATATAAATGTTTGCTTTTCAATGTTTTCAACACAGTATCACATATTGCAAACTGGCACAATTATGCCCACCAAACACACACTGCTCTATTTAACATATCTTACAATTTCAAAACATCTCTCATTTTTCCAAAGCTTTACATCAATTACATGGATTTCACAAAAAAACAAGATTATCATATTCTTCAACAAATCAATATTTCACTATACACTACATAGAAGAGCCAACAGCAGCCCATATATTAAATCCTCTCTCTTTTTTTAACGCTGGTAAGTTCCTAAGTTACAAAACAATTTTCAAAATAATGAGTATTGAACTTCCAGTTTTTTTACAGGACCATCTTGGTTCAGATGAAATTGGCATATTTTAAAGTACAAATGGAACATTTAAAAAGCTGTAGCCACTTCAGTTGTGCGTCGACCACCAACTTTAACAAATTCACGGGGGAATTTGTCTAGCTGTTCGTATGCCAGCCGTCCATCTTCTCCTGAACAGCAACAAAAGAAAACAACAATAAATGCTTCATCTTTTTAACTTGGGGTTCTAAGGATTGGGTCTCCTTTGAGATGACCTGCAGTCTTCTGAGTTCATGGAAGTGGCCTTTCAAAATATTTTTGACAACAGTAATAGGTTTTTTTTTGTCATGGGCTTCTTTAAGATTTTTATTTTTACTTCCTAGTGTAGTGCAATTTTCTATTTAAAATCTTACCTTCCCTCTCAAAAGATAAGGAGGAAGAAGGGAAAGGGAGACAGAGAAATTGCTCCTTACTTTTGGCCTCTCCCTTCCTGAGAATTCCAGTGACAGTGAAAGGAGTACAAGTTTTTATACAGTAAATCACTTAATTACACCACTATGTTCATGTCAGTAGATTAGGGCTGGTAAATTTGGTGCCACTATCTCCTTTCTATTTTTTGTAGTTTTTTTTTAATTAAACCTTCTCATATTAATATTTTGTTGTGTTCACTAGATTTCTGTTTTCATCTGGAGTAAAACAAGATGCCAGGAAATCATAAAAACCTAACTTACCAAGAGAGAGCAAGGTTTCAGAAGCTGTATTCCTAACTTCTTCATTGCCAGACTGGCAAAGAGTGACCAGCATTTTAATACTTTCAGTTGCCTACAGAGCAATGAAAGAAATAAAAATGTAACCCATTTCTTGTAATACAGAAAATCTTCTTACTAGTGATTAATAGTACACCTGAGTTTTTAAGCCTCTATGTACAGAATATAGAATAACAGAGTTGGAAGGAATCTTGAGGTCTTCTAGTCCAATCCCCTGCTCAAGCAGGAAACCCTATATGTCATTCCAGACAAATGGCTGTCCGATCTCTTCTTAAGAACCTCCAATGGAAGTAGGACCCCCTACTTCCAGAGGGAAGCTGTTCCACTGATTGTTTTCACAATTAAAAAATATAAAAACATGCATTTTCTCAAGCCATCTGGATGTGCCTCCACAACTCAATCTCGCTCAACCCCGGGCACCAGTCTGAAAACGTCCTCCCAAGAAACTTCCTGGGTCTTCCAAAGGAGGCAACTGATGTCATGCTTTCAGCTGAGATACTTGGTTTATACAAAGATTCTTTACAAAGCAGCACATCACAATGCATTTTAGTTTTTATTAGTTATGCATGTTTTAAAATTAAAGGTATTTGCAATGCTAAAAGGTACATACCAGAGGTGGTATTCAGCAGGTTCTGACCGGTTCTGAAGAACCGGTAGCGGAAATTTTGAGTAGTTCAGAGAACTGGCAAATACCACCTCTGACTCGCCCTGCCCCCATCTATTCCCTGCCTCCTGAGTCCCAGCTGATCGGCTGGGTCTTCTTTTGTTGCCCTGCACAGAAGAACTGAGCTGGAAAGCAGGTTGGTGAGGTGGGGAGGGAATGGGATTTTGCAGTAACTTTCCCCTGGCGTGGGGTGGGAATGGAAATTTTACAGTATCCTTCCTCTGCCACGTCCAACAAGCCACACCACGCCCACCAAACCACGCCCTCAGAACCAGTAGTAAATTTTTTTGAATCCCAACACTGATACATACACACACATAGGGAGACTGATATATAAGAATGATAAGACACTATTGTTTATCTACATTTTATGTTATATGTACACATAGTCCTCAGCTTTTAACCATTCATTTAGTGACTGGTCCAAATTACAATGGAACTGAAAAAAAGGGACTTACGACAGTTTTTCATTCTTATGACCATTAAAGCATTCCCTTGGTTGCTTGATCAAAATTACACTATAATGGTTGCAGTGTCCTATGGTCATGTTAACCCTAATCTATTGCGGCCTTCTGACAAGCAAAGTCAACGGGGAAGCCAAATTTCCTTAACAACCATGTTACTGACTTAACAACAGCAGTGTTTCACTTAACAATTGTGGCAAGAAAGGTCATAAAATGGGCAAGATTCCATTTAACAGTTGTCTTGCTTAGCAATGGAAATTTTGGATTGAATTGTGGCCTAAGTCGAGGGCTATTTGTACTCTCAAATGACTTATGAAAATATATACAATAACAGTTAACTTTAAAAATAATCTGTTGACAGTGACGAGCAGTATGACAGATTATCTTGACACAATTATCCTCCAGTGTCCCAAATTAGATATTCCCATTTCATTGGGGTGGAGGGTACTTGACTATAATCTATGCTAAAGAGGATGGGGGAAAGGAGGGAGCTATTCTCTTTTCTATTTGATCAACTTTCCTCACTAAATGGTTGCATTTTCTTCCCATTATAATTTCTTACAGTTAAAAACAGACAGGATCCAATCCGGGTCAGTCACTGGGGCCAGAGGTTTAGTCTTTCCAGCTTTCGGACTTGTCCTGAAGCCCATCTTCAGGGAACTTCTCTCTCACCAGATGGTGGACACATTCTGGTGAGAGAGAAGTTCCCTGAAGATGGGCTGCAGCACAAATCTAAAAGGTTGGAAGACCAAACCTCTGGTCCCAGTGACCAACCCAGGTTGGATCCTGCAACATTATCCTGGGATACGTATATTTGCCTCCATTTGTAAAGACAGGTACATCGGTCCTAATTTCAGCCCAGGAAACATTTCCATGACAGAAGGGATGAGCTGCGCACAACTGGATTTGTCTTAGAAATCTGTAAAAGTTGATGGGTGAGAGATGGCAAAACTGACTGCTTTGATTAAAGAAAAGAATACAATTAATTTGTTTTTACTTTACTTGGAAACTGCTTTTGGACTTTGTGCTAGAGGTGGAAAAAAATGAATATTTGATTTTGGTCTTTGCTGATTAGATAGGTTTGGTTTTTTAGAAATGGCTAGCATATTATATAAATGTATAAAATTGAGGTTGTATGTTATTCTGCACCAAAAGGAGTCAGAAGTCAATGCTTTTTTTTTTCTACTTCTCCTTTCCCCTTACACTTTTTCCTCTCCCCTTTTCCTCTCCTATTTTCCCATTATTTTCATTTTTCTTTGTATTTTTCTATTTATATTCTGATGAACTAATAAAAATATTGAGGAAAAAAAGGATTTGTCTTAGAAATGTTTTTGTAATAGAAATATGACTGTATACACAGCACATGGGAAAAATCCTACCCACCCAGTCAAATAGCACCTTCCCATGTTCTTCTAATCATCATACAATATCAATCATAGAGGACAGCCCCTTTTCCAAATATATTGTTAAAGTATATGCATCAAATCCCTCCCATTTTGGTAAAGTAATATCTGGACAGCCAAGTCAAGAGAACAATGCTCTTCTTGTTGTGTATTCAAGAGGGGTTATTGAAACCTCTGGTGGTTGGGTTTTTTTGTTTTGTTTTGGCTTGGCTTGGCTTGGCCTTTTGTAGTTCATGGGAAAATCAAGAGGGCAGAAGTTTACCTGAAGGCATTTCAAGGCCAGGCAAGCAGCCTTCTGCAGATGGAGACTGGGTTGGGCAAGGCTCTCGCAGTAATAAATTAAAGCCTGGAAGACAAAGAGACACCCTGAGACTGCGGAGCAACACCTTTTTAGAACAACAGCAAATAAAGTAAAATCAAATAAATCTTCTTCTGCTTGGAAAAATAAATTCACCAAATAAAAAACAAAGCAGTATTCATCTCTTTGAAAAGAGAGCATTGCTTGTTTAGGTAATAGGTAAGGGGGATGTGGGGAGGCAACCAATTACCACAAAAGTTTTTACTTCCTGCCACAACCATTCCTGTGTAGGATGCAATCAGAGATGTGTAAATATTCTATGAATGAAGCATCATCCTATGTGTGGAAAAATCCGCTTTGAGGTTATGCCCAAACCACAACATTTGTTTTGAGAATTTGGATCTGTGCCTGGCCTAAAGTGAGGCTATTCTAGGCAAAAGGAATTAGGGAGGTTGAGGAGGAGGAAAAAGCCACCCTTGCAAACTGGGAGAAAAGAAGGCTGTTGTGTACTGTTGTTCTCATCCCCCTCAGCTATTCCCAGCGAGGTATACCCCACTGGACCATTTACCCCACGAATCTTCCCAGAGCATAATGGCCCACCAGCTTTCCTATCCTCATAGTATCCTAGCCCTTTCCTTCGACAGGAGAGTGTTGGTCATGCTCCAGAAAATATTCCCGTTCACTTCAGGCAATCTGGCCTGCATCTCACCAATGCTGAGAGCAAAAAGCAGGATGTCCAAGGATGACACTGATTGAAAGATTTCTGGCTGTCACATCTACAGAGAAGACCTAGAACAGGGTGTCAAACAGGGCGGTCCAGATGTGTCACACCCTGGCCATGACCATACCCGGTTTAGCAAAGGGGGAAGTCGTGATATGTCACATGGCGCCGTCATGATGCCACGAGTTTGACACCCCTGACCTAGCAGGAACTAGATTTAAAACCACACTCTTCTTTTACTGAAAGATTTACCACCTCCCTGGAACAATGAGCAATGTGATCTAGCAATATGATTTTATTTTTATTGGTGGTCACCTTCAATTTATTATCTCTCATCTAGTCCAACCTCAATTGCACACAGGCATTCTGAGAAGCTCTATTATTATCTCAAGATATAAAGAAATCAATTGGGTGTTATTAGCATATTGGTATATACTCAGCAGTTTCCTGTAGCTACTGAAAAACTGAGTAGTGCTCCTATTTTTCCAAATTCTGTACTATTGAGGGAGAGAAAAATCTATTGGGTTCATCAAGGTAATCCAACCCTGTAGTATGCTCAGCATGTTAATATAAATCCAGCCAACTGCAATTGTTCAATAAACCAGGTCCAAACAATTATTTAGCATGAAGTTTAAACACATCTAAAATCTGGTAATTCTACTTTTGTCTAATAGGTTTTTTCTAACACTTACCTTTTCTCTGAAGTGTTTGTTTTCTGCTGCAGCAGCTGACAATATTGTTGCCACAGCTTCATAGGTTTCCCTTTTATTTTCAGTCAGAAGGACAGCCAAAGATTTCAGCACTTCTTGTTGAGGTGAGAGACTTATGGAGGTTAAATTGGCCTTATTCTGCAAGAACTTGTCATCTCTTAAAGACTGCAGAGTTTGTACCATTAAAGCTAAAACAAAGACATTTAACAATTTGTTAAAGAAAGAAAAAAAGAAAGAAAGAAAGAAAGAAAGAGGGAGAAAAAGAAAGAGGAAGAAAGAGAAAGAAAGAAAAAGAAATAGGGAGAGAGAGAGTTGGTGTGTGTGTGAGAGAGAGAGAAAAAGAAAGGAAGGGAAAGAAAGACAGAAAGAGACAAAGAAAGAGAAAGGAAGGAAAAGAAATAGGAAGGGAAAGAGAGACAGAGAAAACTCTGTGCTATTATTTTTAATTATCATGTGTTAATATTTTACACTGTCCCTACACCTAGAAAGATTCTACTGCCTTTCTTTTGCCCAGGGCTACCACATATTTTTCTTTGTGGCAGCCCCTTAAAAGCCTGTTGCCTATATCACACTCTTGAGTAAAGCATGTGAGCCATTTCCTCCTTTCAGTGGTCCATGAAAGTACATCTATAGTATGCAGATAACAAAGTCAAAAAAGGTGAACAACATTTTTACAGACTATAGATAAGTTGAGGCTGAGTGACAAGGAATGAATGGGAGTGGAGGGGGCAGGTAAGGCACCCCTTGATGTGCCACACCCAGCCAGTCACATGACCACCAAGCCATGCCCACCCAGTCACATAATCACCAAGCCACACCCACCCAGTCACATGATCACTAAGCCACACCCACCCAGTCACATGACCACCAAGCCATGCCCACCAAATAAGCCACGCCCACAGAACTGGTAGTAAAATTTTTGAATTCCACCACTGTTTTACACCCTCAAAATGATAAAGAACACTACCAAAAACTGTCTTTTGTATAGAACACTTCTGAAATGTTCTGGAATCCTCAACAATTTTCAGATCTTTTTTCTACCGTTTTAGTTGTTCCTACTAAAAGTATTGCTGCATTATGGAATTTGAACTTCTGAAGAGCCTGTTTCTTACCTTCTCTTGCAAGCTGAAGCAAATAGTTAGCCAGATCACTAACATTTTTATGAGCAAAATAGTTGTAATACTGAAAAACTGTTATGATTTCCAAGGACAGACTGGAGGAGAGGAGAGGTTCTGTACGGTCCAAGATATGAGAAATCAAAGTTCTGAACACTGCATATAACCAGATAAAAGTATTAGTTAGCAAATGAATCCCCATTAATAAGAGCAACATAAAATTAATGGAGGTAAGTCATTTTTAGAAAGGGTAATTGTGTAGAAAAAAAATTAGATCACTTCATACTTTCTAGAAATTTAGAATTATAATTTCCAGAAAGAATTAGTATGACAATGATTAGAGATTATGAAAACTTTAGAATATTGGCAATCTCGGGGAAACTAATTGGTACCTCTTCTACAATGACACTCAATTTAAAAGTCATTATATTTCTATCATACCCCAGCAGAACAAATGGAAAGAGAATAGGCTACTGGTATGATATGACAGGAAGTCACCTTAAAAGTGATTGACTTTGGTTGAACATATTCACTTTTTATTATGGGCATGGTCTAAAGAAATCTGGAACTGCAAACCAAAATTATATTGTTTAAAAAACCTCAAAATAATTTATTTAAACAGCAACTTTTAAAACTAGATTTTTAATTAAATTTTGGACAAAATCTTATAAGAGTGTTAAAAGTCCATCCCCATGTACATATATAATTATTTCAATATTAAGTAGGTCCAGTAATATTTAGTCAACTAGCTTGTACTGAAAAATGAGATAATGTATTGTATTTGACAAAAGATTTTTGGGATTTCAGTAACATTAAAAATATTGCCATTGTAGCTATCTATCTTTGCCTGTTCATTGTGCCTTGTATACAAAAATGGTCCTGGCTGTAATATATACATTTTAATATATATACAGTTTTCAATCAAAATTAATTTATACCTCTGGAAAGCTATTCATTTACTTGTTTATACTAATATTACATAATATTGTATAACAGTGCAATCACATCCATGGTGTTACAGAATTTAAGGCCCACGCTGATTTGCTTCAAGATGAAATGCTTATATATAGGACTTAAATCTCAAATTATGTAACAGACCTAATGTCTGAATCTTAAAAGACCAAACATTCAGCAGAAAGTACCAGTTATTATGTTTTGAGATATCTGATTAATTACTGGCAATTGTGGTCTTTGCAATCACTTTTTTTAAAGCACATTAGGTAACTGTACCTGTTTCTGAAAGCCCTGGACATTCGCCATTCACCACTGTAGAAAAAGTGATATCCAGTTGTTTGACCATTTTGTCTGCAGAGGTGTGATACAACCCAGAAGAATTGGTACACTTATTCCAGAAAGAAAGAAGCGATATCTTTTTCTGAAATTCTGGAATTGCTAATGGAAAAGAATACCATAATAGTGAATTATTAGCATAAATTAAAATTGGACAGCAATCAGCTCTAAATTGCAAAGAAATGGGTAGAAATTAGTAGAGAGTTATATTTGCTTGGAAAATGGAACAAAAATACTTTTCCTTGACTGGAAAGATAATAATTTATTGATTACGTCTATCATTTTTAAGATCTAGATCAGCGTTTCTTAACCTCAGTAATTTTAAAATGGGTAAACTTCAACTCCCAGAATTCTCTAGCCTGGCTAATATCTGGATCTTGGACTAGATGTTGGACCTGAACATTGCTGAGGTTGAGATAAATATAAGCTAAGAAGGCTTTAGCTGTTGAGGTTAAGATTTCATGCTAGAAGAATGTTCACTAGGAAAGGGGGTCACAGATTGCCTGCCTCTTCAAACAACATCTCCCTGTGGCTTTAAACTGTTTTTTCTTCATGTCCTTCCTTGTAATAACTTAGAATTCTGTGCCCAGGATAGTTGACATGTGCAGACCGCTGTTCTGTGCCCGAGCTACTGTCCTTTTTTATCCAACTTGATTTTGAACATATTTCTCAGAAAGAAATTCCCCTGGTTTCATTAATACTTTTCACCAAGGAAATCTGCAGGGGGCTGAAACTTTATAGCCTATTCCCCTCATAGGCTTACTTCAACAAAGTTCATGGTATTTAATCAGGTTTACACTGGATAACTAATTGTACAAAAGCAGCCTTAAAAGAGTAGATCTGAACATGCAGAGAAAAGTACTGCATAGATTAGAGTAAGAAACAGAAATATATAATCATATATTCACATGAATATTGTCTATGCTATTTCTCACCTTCACTTATAGGTCTGAAGCTTCCCAGGGTCTCACTGCTGATCTCTGCAAGATTCTCAATCACTAAAATTTGTTGGGATAGTTTATCCAGAAGAGACCTTGTGACAAAGGGAGTTCTGCTAGAGAATACAATTTGCTGGTAAAATAGGAAAGAACAGTGTAAATATTCCTCATACAAAACCATCACTAATTAGGTCACAATCCCAAATGTGAATGAATGCAAATTTATCAAAGAATGATGTTATAACTTTATGTATTTTACAAACATGATCTTTGTCATACACTTTAAAATGGGATTCAAATATCATGTGTTTCTGTTAATTGCTAACCAGCTATATTGGATTGTGTGTTGGATTCTATTATTTTGACTTTGAGAATACAGGGGATTTAGTATGTTTTTCTAATAGTGATCTCTGTTCTCAGCAAAGCAGATAAAGCTCAGTAAACAGATTTACTACACTACACTACTCTGAATATGCCGTATTTTCCTTGAATATGTCATATTTATTTCATAGAAAGAAAACCCTAAGTTTATGATTACTATACACAAAAACGGGGGGGAAATACTTCCACAGTATTATTTTAGTCTCAGAATATGCACAATAATCCACTTGAACAATTACTGGGAGGAGGGGGGAATTACAATTTTTATATGATTTTAGGCTGAGCAATGAGCAAAATAAATATTTGTTATTTTATTATTTATATCCCACCTTTATTATTTTTATAAATAATCCAAAGCAGTGAAACATATGTAATACTCCTTTTTCCTTCTATTTTTCTTACAACAACACACATGTGAAGTGGATTGGGCTGAGAAACTGTGACTGACCTAGTCATCTAGCTGGCTTCCGTATCTAAGGTGGCATTAGAACTCATGGACTCCAGGTTTCTAGCTTGGTGCCTTAACCACTAGACCCAAACTTCCAATTTTGACTTATTTGGAAATATGTCTCATTCACTTCAGTAGTACTTTAACCCTAAGAAGAATATAAAATTACATCTTCAATTTAAGTCTGATTTAAAACCTAGTCATCTCGTTAGGTTTTCTGCACAGTTAAAACCCTGTTTTTGTTTTTTAAAACAACTTAGGAAAACTCAAACTGTCAAGAAGTCTGGGTCAGATGAGAATATATAGCCTTCATCTCCTACAGTGTCAAAGTGCTGTTACCAATTTGGTACCAGGCCATGCCACATTGGACAGCAAAGAGTGAACAGGAGTTCTGTTCAGATTTAAGTGGACCATGATCAAATAAAGTCATATATGGAGAACATAGGATGAGAGTTAAAATGGAGATTGGCATGGAACAGGGGTGGGGAATTATGGCCCTTCCCCCAACTTCTGGAATGGAGAATAGCAATAAAGTTTGGGCCTTCATCTCTTGTTGGAAACCTCTGAAGAGAATTAGGTTTTTTCTGGATTTAAAAAAAAAACCCTTTCACATTCTATAGCTTCTTTGGACAAGCACATTTGCTAGTTTTTTTTCCCAACCCCAGTGTCTGTCCTTTTCACCTTATGCTTATGCAAAAGTACAAAGAAAATTAAGTTCCAACAAATAAGGCTGTGTGTACAACACAAAAAACAAGAGCAGATGAGTCTTAATAATCTCTTAAAAAACATGTAACCCTATGGCCATGATGGCAAACCTATGGCATGTGTGCCAGAAGTGGCACATAGAGCCATTACCTCCGGCGTGCAAGCCCTTGCCCAGAACAGGTCTACTGCACATGCATGCATGCTGCCCACCAACTAATTGTCGGGCATCTGGTGCGCATGCGCAGGGGTGCATGGGAGCCGTGCGCACATGCGCAGACGCATGCGGGGGTATCGCATGCATGCGCAGATGCACGTTGCATGGGGAGCACGCACGCATGTGCAGACACGTAGCGCATGGGGAGCCACGCAGCACGTGTGGGGGGATTGTGTGCGTATACTTGGGGGGGGCGTGCGCATTGCCTTCTGGGTGCTGGCACACGAGCGCGAGGGCAATTTTCAGCACAGGCGCCCCAAAAGGTTAGCCACCACTGCCTTATGGGATACCTGGATAAGCTGTGTACAGTACTGCAAGTGCTTGACTATGGTGATATCAAGGCTTTCACTTCCGGTGGTCAACGGCAGAGGACTTCCAGCCACACTGGTTCCAACGCCCGTGTCTTCCGTCAATGCTTCGCTGAGATGCCCTCTGCCTTCTGGGTGTTCTGACCTGTAACTGTTCAAGCTGGGAGGTAAGTGAGCAGTTTGATTTTCTTTTCATGTAAGCAGTGCACAAGAGAAATTGTTGAAAGCACTCTCCTGTAACCAAACAGCTCTTCATAGGCCAGTAACCTTTTAATGAATACATTGTATCTCAAATTGGCAGTAGCATGAGGTAAAAAGTGCCAAAAAAAAAAAGTGCCTGCATTTAAAGGATATATCGTTACCACACTAGCCTACTTGTTTCTTTGAAACAATCACTTTTTTATAAGGAAGTCTTCCTAAGAAGTCTTTGAAATCAAGCTTTGCTATAGCTTTTCTTTTCCTTTTTTTTCCTTTTCACCTCGCTTTGTTGACAACATCCCTTGCCAAACTGCGCAGTGGATATAACTGAACTATAGATTTGTGGTTTTCAAAAGTTATGCAATTAAGAGGTAATATGTCAGTCCTTTCCTGACATGTGATTAATTGTCTAGCTAAAAAATATTAAAAAGTAAGAGTGAGGGAGAATCTGTTGGAAAGGGAGTCATAAAAACAAACACCAATTTTCTCTTTCCTTTATTCACAGCATACAAAAATCTTTGAACACCTTTTTCATTCTACTAAGTAAGTCAAGGAATTTCTTAAACTTTAATGACATCTTGACCACTCAGCAGCTTCCAATATCATCAATTATGGTATCCTTCTACATCAGCTTTGGGGGTTCCTGTGGGGGCAAAGTTTTATCCCCCTTTTCCTCCATCCCCTGGGGTAGATACCCATCACACTGATAGGAGGCGTTAGCCTGCAATGCCTGCTTTTGTGAGGTGCTACAAATGCCTCAACGTTCTCTCCACTTCTATTTATCATTTACATAAAACTGCTGGGTGAGGTCATTTGATGGCATACGGTAAGGTGTCCCAAATATGCAAATGATACTCAGTTACACATCTCCATCCCAAGTTGACCAAGCTTGCAGTGCCTTGGAGATCTTGCCTTGGTATCTGGAGGCAGAAAGGAATAAACCTGAGCAGCGTTCAGTGCTGGTGTTCTTACCTGTTTTTCTCGATTTCTGTGTCTGAGAACACAGAGTCTGCACCACGAGCACCATCGCAAAGCTCATCAGTACCGCCTTCATCCTCAAAGTCAGAAGTGTTGAGGAAATCAAAACTTTCCAGTGCACTCTCAACTGTTAGGCTTAAGCTGGATGACCTGCTGTGACTTACTATTGGTCTGCACTGCAAGAGCAAAATCAAAACAAAACGTGAAGAACAGTTCAGCCATTCAAAATGGTTTGGTTTCAAGAATATTCCAGGTAAATTGGGGTGAGACTTTCTTTTCAAATCCATCAATGATTCCCTATCGTTGGCTTGTTTGGCCTTGTCCTCCCATCACTTAATTTCCAGATTTTAGGATATCATTTTTCATGTATTTTGAGAACTGAGGAGGATCTAACTTATGGAAAGGATAGATGCAGTTGCGATGAGATTTAGAAAAATCAAATCTATGTGAACTGAGATTTCCATTGTTGGAAAAAACCCTACCCTGAAAAAACACTAAGTAATTCACTTCCCTGACATGCTCACTGGGTCAACTGAGATGTGATGAGGAAATTCCAAAATGGGATTATTTGACTTTTGAAAGTACTGTATTTGGGGTTAGGTATAACTCAATCCAGACCTAAATTTACATAACGCACCTGAACCCTACTGAGTTCATTGGAGTATAAATCACAGGTAGCCCTTGGGTTAAAATAGCCATAGAGACTGGAATACTGTTAAATGATACAATTGTAAAATGTGATTATCATGTGATGGGTGCTACTTTTTTTTCTTCTAGTTTACTTAATGATGGCAGTTCCAGTAGTCCCAGATTACGGTTGTTAAGTGAAGATCTTCCAATTCCTGCTTACCTACCATTTGATTTTGTTTGTGGGAAGCCAGCCAGTTACTGTCAGTAACTGCCATCATGTGACTGAAGAGATGGTAGGATAAAGGGAACTCTGCGGACCAGTTGTAAGTCCCCCTTACAGTTTAGACACAAGTTTGAACAAATGGATATAAGTTAAAGACTGTTTATATATATTAAATAAAACAACAAATAAAATAAGGTTAAACTAACATGTCTATCCCCCAATGTCATGACAACTGCTGTCCATATTAACTAATCCTCACATTACCATAAATTTAGAAGAAAATTTGACTTTGTTCACATTTGAAACTGATAAGATTTAAAAACTCCTACAACTAAGTGAAAAAAATTGTCAACATTTTGCATCTGATCACTATCAGTTATTTCCAAAATTATTAAGGCTGATTTTCAAGTCAAACACACAAACACACACACACAGAGGCAGGCACATACAAGATGGGTGTGTATGTGCATGAGAGAGATTTAAAATATGCTAATTTGTCTTTTTCTGCATGGATATATGCATTTTATTAAACAAACCATGGCTTAGAGCTGTGACTCCTGTCAAAATGACAGCCTAGGGTGAGTCTTGAAACAAAATAAAATTTAGGTAATCAAACTTCAAAAGGTATGATTAAGCTTGGTGCTTTATTAAATATTGAATATATATTCTCTTACTCTTTATATATTTTATTTTAATTATATTTTAACTAATTCTAAAATTGTGATTTAATATTATTGTAAGCTACCTATAGAAAATTGGCTTTAAAAGAGTGACGTACGTTAAAAAAAATGAAATCTACTAGCTTTGCACATAAATATGCTGAAGAAAATGAAGATCAGAAACTCAATTATTTAGTGTTTTAAAACTATTTAATAAAGATAATTTTAAAAATTACATTTCCTGTACAAACAAAACTGTATCTGGTAACGTAAACTAGTATAAATTTAACATTTAATGGTCTTTATTAGAGCTGTCATATTCTGTGGTAATTACTGTAGTACATTTTAGTTGAAATCAAATGCTAGTGTTACATGAGTACAAATTTAACCCAAGATTATCCAATGAAGTGCTAATGCATTTCCATCGAAGTACCCAATTATAAATCTGGAAAAAATGTGTTCACTGAAAAGCTTCTGTAACACTAGTCTAAAAATAGAGCTATTCAAACAGCAATATTGTAATATTATAATATCCAAAATATTCACTGATAAATATACATTTCAGTTAAATGGGATGAAATGGGTTTAAAAAATGAATTAAATTTAAAAAAAAATGCCAAGCATTATCTCCAGACATCTCTCTAATAGCATCTATCATTAAACTATTCAATTTCCAAATACCTTAATAAAATAGCTGTAATAGCGGCACTTTAGTGCTCCCTATAGTATTCTATCATATAAGAAGCATTTCCACAATTACATCACTAATTTGATTTGGCACTGGTTCATTTGGCATGCCAATTTATTATGACTTGGAACCAAGACTTAGTTCTGCATATTGCTGTATATCAAAACAGAACATGGAATTACTTAACTGTCAGTCTTGTTGTGTTAAATTAAAAGGGAAGGGAAAGGAAAATGTAAAATCTCTTTCAAATTCAAACTTTTCTACTATAGGCAAAGGAATAATTAATTTTAAAAACAAGCAAAGCAGTAAACAATAAGCAGGATTGGAACTAGTTAATATTTACATGAGAGACCATGAGAAAAAATACAGAATTGGAACAGATACTTGAAAAACATTGTAGTAGAGAATATTAACAAACCATTACTGTATTATAATTAAGAAAACTTTTATCAGGATGTCTGTGAACTTATCAAATTTAAGTTTATCCAACCATCTGCCAACTTAGATTAAACAAGGGGGGGAAAACTGTAGTTCAATTCAGCTTGACCATCCATACCTGACTGATTTTGAGATTTCAGTTGGTGGATCTGCTCCTCACAATATCTTATTACATATATTACTGGAATAGGAGGGCAGAATGCATCAGAGTTTCCACAATTTTGTTGTTTTAGCTTATCTAATGATTGTTCCATTTAAGGCTTAATTTTGTTATGTGGAAAGTACATCTATACTGTAGATTTTAACAGCCAAAAATATAATTCAGCAATAGTTTGCTGCAATTATTTCATTAGACCAAGACTTGATCTGGCTCTTCCATTTTGTGATTTCTTTCTTGATCATTCTATATTGAATGTAAATGGTGAAATGATGCTTGGTGTCAGGAAAGCTACTATCCAAACAATTAGTTTTATTACTGAAGATTATATAATAACCATTCTTCTATTCACAATGAATGAGATTTATTTGAAACTGAACTTACTTTTAGGATCTCATCTAGATGTATAATTCCTTGGTCCAATTCCTGGAATTCTTTAAACTGTTCTTTATGAGGTTCAAGAGCTAACAGAAGCCCCTGAAATGCTTCTTCTAGACTTCCATCAACACATGATTTATAGCCTTCAGATTCTCCACTAATTGACCCCTCACAATGACATTTTTCAGGTGTCATTGGGCCCTCTCCAGATGTCAGTCTTTTAACCAGCTGCTTTGTGATATTGCCTTCAAAGGTATCCAGCTCTACAGGTTTGACATCTGATAACTCATCTGTATCCGGAAGAAGTGACTCTGAGGCACTACTTGCTAAAATCACACTGTTGCCTCTCAAATGAGGAGAAGTTTGGCAAAGTTCAGAATCTAGATTTGTAATCATATTTTCACCGTGCTCTTGTGATGTTAAGTCGTTGGATTCAGATGTGGAGTCCTCACATCTTGAATGAATATTGTATACAGGGTCAGGTTTGGATAACCTTTTCCCACTGGGATCTGGGATTATGGCAATTTCAGGATTGGAATTATTTATCGTAAAGGACGAGTCCGTTGAACTATATGATGTAGTACAATGTTCACTGGTAATGTCAATGAAACTGAAAGATAATGAACTTTTCTCATTTTCCGCTGTTCCATTTTCAAAAACATCATCTGGTAAATTTGACTGCAAATATAATAAAAATAGTTTCAATTAAAATATTACCGAGGTGATGTCAAGCATTTTTTTAAAGAAACAATTTGCTACTTTCTGTGAAACTAGGTTATTTGGAATTACAAAATAAATTCATTTAGCTTTTATGCTACTGATCTTTTCTAAGTGATAGGAAGATAAAAAAAATGTCCAAAAGCCAGAAAATAAGAAGGATCAGAAATAGCCCAGAATATCTACCGAAAAATTCTAAACCAATTATGAAGCTTTTTTGAGCATTGCAAACTCATTATCTTTATGAATAAATTAGAATCTTTTATTCTGGTTGAAAATAAGCTGAAGAAACAAAATGCACACTAAGAGAACATCACATGTCATTATATGATTGGTATTACAGTATAGTAGATTACACCATAAGTATACTGGGGATTATCTTGTCCTTTTATTCAGCAATGCTGAAATACAGTTTCAAATCCTTAAACATAACTTCTCAAAGATAACTAAGCAGTTTCAATATTGCAGCCTGAAATCAATGGATAAATTTTTCACTTCAGACTGCATCGAATTTATTTTCTTAGTCTCCTGCCAAAAATAGTTTATGGACAAATTTCAAACCATGTGCATATATAAATATGTTTATAAAATATTTCAAATAATAAGGGCTTTCTTATTTTAGCCTCTTCTCTAAAAAGAATCTGCAAAACTAAAGCCAGTCAGAGTTTTATTTGACTACATAAGCAACTTGAGCCAATAATTATTTGCTCAATAAATAGTCAGCAAACAAGATAGATCTTAAAGAGAAATATCAGATTTAGGACATGCATAAAAACAGAGGAACTGCTTGAGAAATGCAGTAAGATATTTCGTCACACCATCTGGACTCACATATTGTTCTAGCCCTGTTCTAGACCTCAGCCTGAGAGATGGCAGATCACTAAATGAGCGACTGCGACGTAGCTTGTCAAAGAAAGCATCTTGCAGAGTCTCTAAAATGGCAGAGTGGAGACTGTCTTGTGAAGGATGTCGCCATTTCTTGAAGTATTAAGGCAAAAAAAATGGGGCAATTAGTTGACTCCATCGTCTTTTAAATATACTGTAAGTGTACAAAGTATAGATTGATAAAGAAAATTTAGTGCAAATATTCAAAACCAACGTGCACACTAAATGAGATTTATGGAAGCTTCTCACACCTAAATGATCCTTTATCTGTAAGGGGGAAAATATCACACTTTCTTTCCTAAAAAAAAAAAAAGAAATGGTGGTATTCACATTAGTCATATCACATATGGAAAGTTCCTTTCATTTACAGGACCTTCCCCACTGGATCAAGGAATAGGCTAGAAAAAATAAACCTCTGCCAATTCTCCCTTTTTCCTTTGCCTCTATTTCTGTTACGTCAAAGAAAATTGAGCAGACCGTGCTACTTAGCCACTAATTGTTTTTGCTATCACTTACAAAGAATGACTGATCCTTGAAAATGGGTGTTTCTGGGGTGCCTTGACTGTAAATGGACATCCTTCTCTGAATAGCTGATGCTTTGTTCGTGTTGCCCGTTGATGGGGTAATGTCCTCCACATCAAATGGACTGCAAAAGTATAAATCTATTATTAGACTGAATCATCATTAAACTGTTATTCTATTGAATTACAAGGTTTTCTTCTCACTTCAGATAGTACAGCACGAGCAAATTCTGTACATTGTAAAAGAGGTTCACAAAATAGCATTCTTGTATATATTTTCATTTCATATTTTCATATCAGAAGAGTGCATATTATCTGTGGCTGCCAACTCAAAAATTAACCTACAATACGATCTAGCTCTTTAAATACTCTAGTGTGCCAGTTCAGTAGAAGTGTATCCCATAATTTTATTTTCTGTTGCTGTTGTTATTGGAACAACAGTTGATTTGAAGTGATGACGTCTCCCCAGAAAACCAGCTTTACTTACTGCCAAGTGATTTCCAGATTCAGCTTTATTGTGCCAAGGTCATTGATATCCACAGCGACAACCTGAGGCTGAGCAGCAAACAAGTCTTTCGTTTCACAAGTAACACTTCCAACCAAAATATGAGTGGCAAGACCTTTAACTTCTGTGACCTTTGGAATAAATTAGTGTTAATAATTAGGAACAAAATAATTGTCAATTAATAGTTCACTATATCAGTAGCATCTTCAGATACCAAATATTCACCTGTTTTGTATACTAATCCTTTTAACACTGTTTGTTCAAAAGAGTAAGAAATACTGCTTCAGATTTACACAGGACTTCATATTTGCATGGATGGTACTTTATTTTTTTCCATAAACAGAAAGCTACAAACCACTGATACATTTAGCTCAGTTTTCTTACAATATATTACTAATGATATTATTTACACAGTTCAGAGTCAAAGAAGCTAATAATAATAATTTATTTGTGGGAAACTTCAAGGAAACTTCAAAACTTCAATGAATGAAGAATAGGGGGAAAATCTAGAATGTAAGACATAGGCATAGGTAAAGAGTCCCAAGGCATAGGTAAAGAGTCCCAAAAGGTATTGTTTTTAAAAACTGGACAAAGTGGTTGGGTTTTATACAAAATAATAATAATAAATGGTCATGAATATGACATTAATTATTGTATTAATGACTGGCATTTCCAAAACATTCCCACCATTTCTAACTCCTCTTTAAACGAATCCTGCCTGACTTATCTACCAGAACAATAGCATATAAAGAATATTCTTTATATGCAGTTGATACAGTTTGCAAATAAAAACCTTAGTCTCTTATGACACTACTAAAGTCATTGTTCTTTTAGTTGTCACTGAACAAAAATTCTTAAGCATATTATTTTGATTATTAATAGTGATGTTCCACTATATTGTTAATACACATGTAATTTTTCTTCTGTTAACTAGTTTGATAGAATAAAATAAAATAATTTGAAAGAAAAAAGTATACATTGCAGAATCTCTTTTATATACTCAAATAAAATGGACTGAAAGTATCATTTAAAAATGGAAAGAAGTTTGTGTCTATTGATTCATTTGAAAGGGCTTACTTGACATACACATTTACCATTTTATTACTTGATTCTTTTACATTTAATAATTCATTTGAATATTCAACTGATAAGCATAATCTTAGAAATGATATATGAAACTTCCAATTGTGCTCTGTAATACTGATAGTCTGGGACACCCCCCCAAGCTACTTAATCCAATTTTAAAATTACGATGGCTACTTAATGCTGAAAAAATACTGAAAAAAACAGGACTGGTGACTCACTCAACTACCGCAATGACTTACAACCATAATTCTAGGCTCAATTATGGTCATAAATCGAGGATTATCTGTGTAGAAGAACAAATTCCCAAGTGGAAGTAATCTCTTGAAAATTACAGCAAACTGATCTACATAAATGAAGCTACAAAGCACTAGTGTCCTTCCCTGACTAGTTTTTTTCTCAATAGAATTTCACAGTAAAATATTATCAATACATTCCGTGAATTAAAGGAAACCAGAATGACATTGCTTATTCTCCATAGTTCCATATTTCTAATGGAATGCATTAGTGGCTGTAAGGAAAGAGGAGAGATGCTGCCTAGGAAACAATCGGATAAGAAAAGCAGGAGCTTGCAATCAGTGAACAGCAGAGAAAGAAACTGAGGAAAGACCTGCCCTCCTAGGTCAGGCAGTTAAAAATGGCAGGTGCGTACTTTCAGATTTGCAAGTTTCTATTAATGCAACCTTAGAATAAGTAGAATTACCCATAGTTCACCTAATCCTGTTTCCTGTTTGATTTACCTGAGAGGGTTGACAATATTATAGTTATATTACAGTTATATTTAGGAAAGCCATTTTAGGAAAATCCATTTATTTTCTAAAGCCTTTAAGTGTTAATTGATTTTAACTTCACCTACTTTGAGGTCACCTTTTATATTTGCATTTGGTTTTAATTGTTGTAAGCAGAAAGGCAGGCAATGTCTTTAATAAGTAAATAATACATCAATACCTTAATGGAGATTAGCCCAGTAATAAGGGGGAGGAAGATCATTTCTTCTCCATCCCAACTTTGCTTATCATTGACTTCTATTTTGCCTTTTAGTTTCCATCTTTGACGGCCATACCTCATGAAAATCTGAGAAAACAAAATGTGATCTCATTTATCATGATCATACATACTTTGTTCTCATTCTACCATTCTGAATCAATCACAATGAGTGAAGAACCCAACAGAACTAATGGATTCAATGCATTTACAGAAGTGGTTATGTTTTGGATCGGACTCACATATTTCCAAGGAAAAAACTGGATAGAATTGTTAGTACATCGCTCAAGAACATCACAAAGAAAAGAGAGCCACCTTAAAGTGAGATGGGTTGCAAACAAATCTAATAAATAAATAATAATAGCTACACAAGGTTGTTAACATAAATATTATTTCATTAAGCATTACAACATGACACATAAATGCAGAATCACAAAGCATTCAGACTAGAGATATGACTTTGTTCTTGTTCTTTGTTCTAAATTTCCACCTTGCTACTTGTTGGTAAAATAAAGTATCTGTCTTTGGAGAAAAAAGGGGGATAGTCGACTTGAAGTATTGATCTGCTCAACTCAGCCTGTCCTAGTTAGATTTGAGAGCCTCAAGAGGGAAAGGACGTATGCCAAGAATAAAATATTTAGAGCCTGCTGACATGCTTCCAAGACAAAGCTAAAGAAAGATCTGTTGTTATCTTGGAAGGCATCAATCAGCTCTCTGGGACCAATCTCACAGTCTTTATGTGGGAACTGTTCAGAGTGCATTCATCCATAAACAGAGAATAGTGGGACCTTTCTTGCTGTACAGGACATGAGAACAGTAAGAAATGCATGATGGAAAATGACATTTACAAGTTACTTACCTCATACTGATCTCCAGGGCAAAGTCGAGCAAAGCCAGCCAGACCTAGAAGCCAATAACATTTAAAAACTGTTTCAGATTAAATGCTTATTTTTGAGAAGGGTTTCACATGAAATGTTTTTGTTGCCCCCTTTTATGTTAACGACAACATCCTACAATGTTGTCAGAGCACTTAGGAATCTAAGAGAGCAACTTTCAGAGTGCATTTTATTCTCTTCTCTTCATTAACAGAAATGACTGTTTCCCCCATTCACCTTCTCTGAAGGACTGGGAATAGTAGTGATAGTAGTGACTGAAACCGGATTGTTTGCTGTTGCAAGAGTTAATATAATGCATGAGAACAGTATTAAACTATCAGCATCTAACTTTTTGAATTCTGCATGCCCAATTAGCACACTCTGAGTATTAATGTCTTAGAAAATCACAAATCCATTTAAAATGTAACTTTCCAACTCATATGAAGAAACTGAATTCTGTTCAAATAAGGGATGCATTTAGCTATCACTTCTCATTGGAAGTAATATCATTCACTTTAACTTTTTCTCATGTTAACTTTTGGACAACTTTGTCCCTGGAAATAGATATCATTATATAAACCTAATGTGAGCAGAAAGAGACACTTTTTACTATGTTTATTTTTTAATACACATTAAACCCAATTAGTATGGACCTTCTTTTACTTTTATATTTAATTCCTTTGAAAATTCAAGAACTCAAGGTGTGAAATCCTGATATAAACATTGGGGGGGGGGGCTCTCCAGAGATGAAGAGAAACTTCAAGAGATAGGAAGGAGAAGAGTTGGGAGTTCTCCTCATTGAAAAAATCATTAGTTTGTAATTCCTGAGTTGCAAACTATTTTCACAGTGTTTTCTCTGGAGCAACAACTGATTCTACAGTTAATCGGCTCAGCTTCCCAACATACCATACCCCACATACTCTACACAATCCTCAGATTTTTTTTCTTTCCTGGCTCTTTATCAGTTTAGTTCCTATAAGCTTTAGGTTGTCAATGTCTTTTTGAAATATGGTGTTTAGAATTGCATTCAATGTTCTAGCTGCAATCTGACCAATGCACAATAGAAAAATCATGACTTTTCGCGACTTAACACTGAATATCTACTAAAACTTTCATCTAAGAGTTTGTCTGTCTGTCTGCCCGTCTCTTTCTCTCTCTCAATTTCCTATTGACATTGGAACAAACTTTTTGATCTCTAGGTGGCAGCAGTCCCTCATAAATTCTTGCTGATTGATTTTTTTTAATGGTTTAGTTTTTTAAAATATTTGTAATCTACATTAATTACAATTACTCTTTAAGCTCAATCAATACTTTAGGGGAAGTCTATTAAAAAGTATGTTCATAAGTGAATGCCCTTAATATTGCAGATAATTAAACAGTTACAGATGATGAAGATAATGATATATTAGACACCATTCACCATTTAATCAATACCCAATTGTTTCAATAAGCATTTTCCCATGCTCACAGCAGCCATGAGAAGTAAACCTGGTTCAGATGCTTCTTCCCAGACATTCAGTGTTGTAATTATTGGAACCATTTAATTTTTAGTGCTATCTTGTAATAAGGCTGTTTTATGAGAGGAAGAGGGTGCCTACAAGTCAATTTTGACTCCTGGCAACTGTCTGGCCAATTTTAGAGTTTTGGTGGCAAGATTTCAGAAGTGGTTTGTCACTGCCTTGTTCCTAGAGCTGAACTGATTGGTCCAATATCACCCATCTAGCTCTATGTCCAAGGCAGGACTAGAACTCTTGGTTGTTTGTTTGTTTGATTTTGTTTCTAAAATGGTGCCTTAGACAGTAGACCAACCTGCCTTTGTACTGCAATTCTATGGATGCCTATTCCTTGCATGAAATGCTAGTCCAGCATAGAAGAAGAGAATCTGTTTAAAGTCAAACAAAAGAATCAGATGGCATGATTTATACATCCATCTGAAATGAGGCCTGTTAAGAAAATGGCTGGGGTAACAGCAATTGAGGCCTTAATAAACAAGATGATATGTAAGAAAAGAAGAATGGGAACACCTGGACATGTAGCCAGGTTATCTTCCTCTGGCCTAAACAAATTACTTTCCTTTAGCTGGCATTAATGGAAAATTAACTTAGATTATAAACAAAAGTTTTCAGTTTCGTTTGGCACACTATGCAAAAAGAAGGCTTGGGATATGAATCTAATTGACAGAGTTGGAAACCATGATTTCTCATTACATTTACATCAAGATGTCCTTTAAAACAGGGGTCCCCAACCACCGGGCCGCGGACCGGTACCGGTCTGTGGAACATTTCCTACCGGGCCGCCGGTTTGCTGGGCACCGCCATCTTGTTTGACGAGAAAGTGCTTCTGGGTGAGCTTTTCCAGTTGGAAAGCGTTGTTTGGGTCCTGAAGGAATCCTCACGCCTTAGTTTCATCGAAGGGGGGGGGCTTCGAACGAAACTAAGGCGCGAGGATTCTTTCAGCACCCAAGGCAAGGCGAACCGAGCGACCATCCTGAAGCCATCCCGAAGCGAAGCCCATCGACAAAGGTACAAAGGAGGAGTTGAAGGTGGCGGGGAGAAGCGGGGGACGGCTGGCTGGCCGGTCGCTCAGCTCGCCTTGCCTTGTTATGCATGCTGATCCCGGTACCGGGCCGTGGATCATTTTGTGATGACGGTACCGGGCCATGGCACAAAAAAGGTTGGGGGACACTGCTTTAAAACATAGCAAATTTCATAACTGAACAGGGATTTCCAAAAGTGCCATATTTGCATCAAAAAAAGGAATGACTGAGGAGACTGAAAGTAAATCTACTCTTTTACCAAGCCTTTTAGTAAGTAGTCATTAGATACTCACTTTTTGTTATCACTATGAAAGCACAAAATGCAGGTGTGGCTCATAAATAGCTACCATGTTAATAAACAGCGTACTGTTTCTCTAGCAGATATTAACAGTGCAATTCCCATCAATCTTTACTACTCTCCAAATTCATTCAGGGCTATGGGATATACAATGCAACACCTGGAAAGCTGTGCGTGGCTTATGCCAACAGCTAACAATACAATGGAAATACTATTAATAATGTGGGGATGGGTGGGACTTGGCTATGTTATTTAAAATGCAATAGACGTATTTTCAAAGGCACAACCTCATGAAAACTGACAAGATATAGTATTAGCAACCCAAGTCCAGGACCTCTCCCACACAAAAGTACCCTTTTAAGTATTCAGCAGTACAAAAATAATTATTTTTATCAAGAAATATTCACCAAGAAATTCTAGACCACAGACAAAAATAAGAATCAGCTTTTCTGACACCAAGGATTGTTAATGCACATGAACTGGTTTTCTTTCTAATGTCACATATTTATTCAAGCAAGGAAACTATAGGCATTTATTGGGCAAATGAGATTCTTAGGCACTTTTTAAAGCTAAGAAAATAGCTTCCTCCACCTAGGAGTATGTATCATATTTTAAGTCTTTCAGCAGCAGTCTAAATCCCAGAACAAAATATTTTCCATTGGGTTGATATTAACATTAACATTCTTATTTATTTAGTATTTATACTTTAAACATTTACTAATATTCTGCAGATGTCTTTTCCTCTTGATACTTTAATGTTACAGTTCGATTTTTGTTACTTGCCCATAAGCACATATATTCTGAATGGGGAGAAAACCAATTAAAACAAATAAGGAATTTTTCCTTAAGGTACATTGATCTTAGAAATGCTGCTGAATTAACTTGCTATGGAACTGCTCCAACATACCTAGAAGGTTAACACTTGAAGCTTTATATTTCATATTAAATCATGCTGGGTATTGCTAAGATTAAAACTTCAGTATCTAGGCTCCTACAAATGTGCCTGCTGCTAGTGTTCACATTCATTCCGACTCTTGCTGGAAATCTGTAAGCTCGCTTTATTGCAATGCATGATTTAGGTTAATGCTGAAAGAAAAATGAATCCTCTTCAATAAGAATATGCTGAGAAGAAAAGTATCCATCCTCTTGTGGGAACAGGCCACTCAGATGTTGAGAAACAGATCCTTATATATTCAGCAGGTATCAGAAAATGTAGCCTAAATCATTTCATTTCATTTACGGCAATCATAAAAAGTACCATTTGAAAAATGAAAGCATCAAAGATAAGTAATATTGCTGAAACTGATATTGTGCATTCTTCTCTTTTCTGGTACAACAGGATGTGACACAGACAAATACTTCAGGGAGAAAGCTTCTAAAAAATAATAATAATTTTATGGCCCTGTCCGCAATTGGAAATAACTACTTTGCTGGCACTAGATTTAGTATCAAATAAATGTAACTCTCCCCTTGGACAATCAAAATTTCATAATTGGATACCTATTGTAAGTAATATATTGCAATAGGAAATCCCACAGTTTTTCATTTATGGGTTAATTAGGGGCTAGTTAAGATGAGGGGGTCTCCATGACTTATGACCGTAATTCTGGGCTCAGTTACAATCATACGTTGAAGACCACCTATACAAGTTTAAGATTTTAAATCTTTTTTTTTTAATAAACAGCAAAAGGGTGATCAACACTTTTGATTTTGAAAAGTTAAAAAAAGAGATAGAAATTAAGTCTTCAGGGAAGGAAATGCCCTTTTTTTAGTTTTGTGGTGGTATTCCATTTTATTTCCCAACATGCAAAAAAGAAGAAAGGAAAGGAAAGGAAAGGAGGAAGGGGGAAGAGGAAAGGGAAAAAAGCAGCACAATAGCCAAAATCTAAAACAAGAACCCTCAAAGTATCAACAGATATTCATGGGGCTCTTAGGATGCTCCAAGTTAACAATCTTCAGACTTTGCTATTGGTGTACAAAATTCAGTATTTATATGAATTTAAGTGACTTTCAAAGGAAGAAGAATGCTAAATTATAAATTCACAAATTTCTCAAGAGGCAATATTGTCTGCTAAAGACGCTTCTGTTCCACTCACACTAATAAATTGAGACAGAGATATGATATCTTCAATACCTGCCCAACTATTTATTCATGCAATTATAAGTATACAGTATGTTCCAAAAGTATTTGTCTTTTTAATTAATCAAATATTGATCTCACGGATCAATATCAATATTTATAATTTCTAGTAATGAGACTTTTTAAAAAAAAATCCTAGAAGGGTATAATAAAATGTATGCAAAGAATAAGCATCTTTTAAGTATAATTTGATTCTTATCTTAACAGGTATTTTAACCTTTTTACCGACATCTTTAACAAGACAAAAATCTTTATAAAATTCGCTGTAAATGTTTGCTATTTCAATGAACATGAGATGTTTAGATTGCTTTAGAAACAAAACAGAAATATTTGGAAAACTTTATATCCCAAGAGGTGAGCGAAAGAAAACAAGCCTCTTATCTGAATTGACTGTCCTCTCTATGCTGTCAGAAACCACACACAGAGATAGATCCCTTGCTGAGATATTTGTGTAGAAAATGGCATAAGAGGCAAGACAATTACCTTTCATCTTGATGCAGAACTCCCCCATTAAATTTTCCAGCTCTCCTTCAATGGTGCACATGTTCTGTGTAGGAAAACAGAAAACTAATATCAGATCAACTATTTCAAATGAACTATATAAAGGTACCTTAAAAACACTGAATGAACTGTGTTCATCACCACTGATTATAATGTGGTGATTTCTGAAGTGGGATACAATAATAGCATTGGGTGGGGAAAAAAAATCCAGTGCTCTCTTGGAAATTATGCCTTCCTGGTTACCCAGGGATGAAAATCCAATAGTTTCTTCAAGATCACTGAGTTTTATTAAAATGAATAATATAAGCAACCATTTTTTCTGTCGATTGATTCAAATATTCTAGCAGAACATTTGGAAAACTATGTTGAATAGTTGCTTTCAGTTGCAAAGATACCCAATGAAATACAAACACAGGCACTCTTTATACATAGGACTAAGCATTTGCATTAATTTCCACATCAAAGTGCTGTTCATTGTGGTAATCATAAGTTATATTATAAATTATTGTACATTCATCATATATTATAAGACATTTAATTTCATTAAGAAAACATGATATTTGATCAATTCTATACAGAAAATTTTAAGAAACTGATTTTAATTAAAATTACTAAAATAGTCATGGCTTGATGAAGAAGCAAATCTTGTCTAATATCTGCAGGAATGTTAATATTCCACTCTGAATTACTCAAATGTCCCAAAATCCTGTATTCTGGAAGGGGACTTCTGTTTTACAAACTACTAACTGTGCAGTGAATTCAACACAATGTTTCAGATTTGATTTTAAAATGGTACACTGGCCTACAGCTTTTAAAACTATGGTGCTTTTTCCTGGGATTATGCAGCATCTGCAAAACGTAGAAGCATTCTTCTAGAAAATAGATACAGTGGCTTTAATGAGTTCCAGGTGGATTCTGCCAGGTTCCTACTGGGTGTGTCAAATTTTTTCAACTTTCAATTTCCAAATATTAGGGTTACTCAAAAAATGTGACGTGCCTTGGGGATTGTAAAGATATTTTGGTTACTTTAATAGAAATTAGATTTGCTTGATAAGTAATTACATAAATATCATAACTTTTTAACATTTTGTTTGTTTCATTCCTACAATCTTTCTTAAGTTTGCTCTAAAGCACTTTTTTGGAATCAAACATCATGTGCTAAACAAGGTATTTTTATGACAGAATACACAATGCTGTATAAAAGTAATAATTATCACTGTAAATAAATTCTATACATTTTTTAAAAAAATCCATAATCTATTTTTTTTCACAGCTGAATCTTTCTATTACAGTAATTGCAAAATTTCAATCTAGGAAGCCTAAAGAAAAAGTAGATCGTTTTATACCTCAGTATATTCTTTATAGGTTTTGTTGATTTCTGATAAACTCTCTCGAGCTGCCTTGCTAGCAGGAGACAACCCATATGCTTGCTTCATTTTGCTGGCACCATCACGAAGCCGCCTTTGGATACAGTAGGCTTCAAAGAGTTCATCTACCTGATAAGAAGAAAAACAGCAAAACTGAGGTGTTTGGGGGGAGAGGAGAAAAAAAAATCAAAACCAACCAAAAGGTGTTTTAATTATTCAAGTGAGATTATAGTAATTCATAGGGAAAAGTGGGCAAACAATTTCAGTGCTGATGGTGTCTTTGTATGGAAAATAAATTATTTGTATAAATAAAATCATTCTCTCATTCAGTTTCCCCAATGAACAATGGGTAATAACCAACAATTATTATAGTCAGCTATTTAAATTTTATGCAAACATTTTTTTCATTAAGGTTTTTTTCAACACTAATAACATCTGCATTTAATAATTTCTGATTCTGATAATTTGATTTAATTTTCAGAATAAGTAAAACACAGTTGCAATATGCTACTGTAGTATATAAAAAAGTCTACTTAAGAAGAAAAGGAGAATAATATTACGTTCTTGCCAATATAAGATCTCCTTCACAGTACTGAGCAAAAATTGGAAGTCAAAGCCCAAATATTTTGTTCCTACTGGACAAATTATTACAGATTAATTTTATGATTGTTTCCTCAGAACAGAGGCTGACCATTCTTAGTGGCACTAACTTCCAGACAAGAAGTAAAAGGAAATGTGGTTCCAAGAACTCTGCACAGAATTGTTCTGCCATTTAAATAGCAAAAGAATCCTTTTGTTCCTTCTATGTATGTACAATATATTTCTTGCAAGACAAAATAACACAATTATCACTTCTTACAGTACATTATGTACAATGACACTTCGGTATAAGTAGAAAACATTTCCACTCACAGGAAGCTAGGGGCTTGATTTTTACTGATTCCCCATTGTACTCTTAACCTTTTTCTATTTTTCTAATGATTAGAAGACTTTCTGAAACATTATAAGATACAGCACAAAGATATGCAATGAGTGAAAATTAATAGTATCCTTAATATGCATGGGAATAGTTTCCAGGAACAATAACAAAAAAGTAACTGGATGCAAGGGCACTGAATTTAGAGACTTATCAGCAGATTTTACATACTAGACAAACCCAAACAAAGCATTCAAAACATGAGTATACGAGGTCCTCGACCTACGACTGGTTGTTTAGTGACTGTTCGAAGTTCTGATGGATCCATCTTGGGGCTACCTATGACCTGATTCAAAGTTCTGATGGTCATGTATGAACTTTGGGCACTAGCCGCTCAGATATGGTAGCCTGAAACAATCCAGATCCAGCAGTAGGATATACTTAGTGAAAAATGTGTAGATTCCTGTAAGATACAGATGCCTCTAAATAAACTCTTTGTAACTACCAAAACTATTATCTATTGGTTTAGTATGGCATCTGAAGATCAGAACACCTGACCATAAAAATAGTCACGTTACAGTATTTACTTCTATTAACAAGACTGCGGTACATGTACCACAAAACGGTACTTTTTTTCCCCTTGTCAACTTGAGCAGATCTACCGCAAAGCCATCTGTGATATTCAAAAACTGTCATGGCCACATTTCCTTCCTTCACTTCCCTTTCAAAACTTAAATTCAAGACTCAGCTTTCACCAGAAGCCTAATGCGCAATGCTTGTCGTAGTGATCAAAGTTGTGCATCTTTCCTTGAAATGTTTTCAATTACAATTGCTCATGTTTTCTTCTAAAAGCCTTGCTTCACATAAAGTTCTCCATGTTTGTTACCATGGGTTACAGAACAACAAGCTGACATACTGAGCAATTTGGATGTGGATTTAGCTCTGTAGCAACTCAGTCTTATGTAAAACACTGAAATCCCTTTGTTCTGAGTGGGAGGGACTCAAACACAAAGTACCCACTGCATGAGCTTGCTAGTAAGGAAACATGCTATTTTGGATTTATTTTCTTGATGAATATTTGATTTATGAGCATAACATAAATGAGAGCGATATTTTGAATGTCCCATACTGTTTGACATCTACTATTATAGAAAAAAGGGGAACATAATCTAAGTGCAGGTCAGCCTCGTGTAGCAGTCTTAGCTAATTTCATTTCAGTTACATGCGCCATTTTCAAAATAGAAATGGCAGCAATAGAGACTCATGTCCTAAAATATGGCCTTCAGCAATAGGCACTCAGCATGACTGAATAAAGTGCTTTGTTGCACTTAGTGGTGTGAAATATTTTATTGTACAAAAGAAAGAGGAGCAAGAACTCTCTCAATGTGATTCCATGCACATACAAATATTATGTATCATGCAAATATACAGACAGGGAGATAATGAATTATTAATAGGGAATGACTCTATAAGGGTATTATAAATATTCTAATAGTTGGATGAAAATTAAGAGCCACTGAAGGCTTCTGTCAAAATAGAAATCTTCCATCTAGAAATGTGTTTACCCTTGAGGCAGGGAAAGATAAGGCTGTTAATAGTACATTAATTCTGTTATCTCACCTCATTTCCTCTTGTTCCAGGTCAGTTTGACACAGACTTGCTATGAGTGAGAACACCTTAGGGACATGGCAAATTCCCTTGCAGACTTTACTAGCGTCTTCTGCTCATTTCCATAAGATGAAGCCTTAATGTAAGTTTATCTAAATAACTGCTTTGTGAGATGGTTTCTCTAGACTACCAGATACAGTATTACTTGGTGTAGGCTTTTTTGAAGAAATGAAGTTGGAAATAGAATGAAAGGAAGTTAATTACCTTACTGATATGAAACTCAAGCTTTCTCATATATCTTTCAATTGCTTTCATTTGCTGAAAAATAAAATAATCAAAATAAGAACAGATATCTGAATTTAGCTGAATCAATGGATACTTTTCTGTATGTCTAATATTTTCACATAAGACCAGTTTGATATTCAAAAGTGATTCAATCCTTTTTTTGAAAAGTGAGAAGCTTCAGCTCTAACTGGGCAGGAAAACACCAGAATTATAGTGCTTTTAATTTCATTCTAAATTTACAAAATAATCACTAATGGTTTTGGACAAAACAGGGTTTCCCAGTTCCATTAGATGTATCTCAAGTTACCGTATAACAGAGTTCCAAACCACATACTCAATAAATATTTTACGCACTTACTGAGATGTCCCTGTAATCACCTTAGGAAAGAATTTTCAAATCATTTTACTGAAATTGATTTTGTGGACTGAAAGTGACATTTGCCAAGTGGAGGACAAATGATAGATAGGATTTTTTGAGTCCTCTAACTAATGTGATGCCACGCTGCAGCCTTCTCCAGCTTTTAAGATGTGTTGGGACTACAACACCCACAACTTCCAATGACCAGGGAGATTTTCTGCTACCACACAAAATTGAGATTACAGTAGAATTTTCTACTGAAGTATATTTATTACAAATCACTTACTTTGTCAAGTTCATACAGCACTCCCTGAAATGAATGAAATGAATATATTACTAAAAATAAGATGTTCTTTCAATGAAGACAGACGTGATAGTTTTAAATATAGTACCCCAACAAATTGAGCCAAAATTAATCAACTGCAGTAAATAAATATCATTTTTAAAATTATATTTTTTCAGACAGTCCAGAATGAGAAGAAATAGGGAAACATAAATTTAGTTCTAAATTTTCGAGAAAACTTTTACATGCAACTGGTGGCCTGTGAGCTGGCTGCCTCACATGCAGGCCATGCCCATCCCAGCTCCGTGAATGGGGAAAACATCGCAAAACATCACGTGACGGCAACATGACGTGGCAGTTTGACACCCATGGCATAGACAAATAGATAAAATGGCTTCTTGACATTGTTATAATCACTCATGTAAAGACTGAACTCTGGCCCACGCTATCTAAAACAGATTTAATCTTTAAAAAAAATGCAACCATAATTGTCTTTTTTGAGAAAAGTGGTTACAATAACTGATTTGAGTACTGTAGTTTTTAAAAATAGATTATCTGTCTTTTCTCGCAGTTTCTTCTTTTCACTTTGCAAAATTATTACTATTATACAAAAATAATAATATACATTGTTCACTAACAATGGCCTTTGCAGTAAATGCTGAAATAGCATGATACAGGGAAATAGGGAAATGTATTTGTGAAAACAGAGATCTGGTATATCAACATCATCTGGTAATATGGGGATATTTACAATCAAATGCCTGAAGTGGCAGAATATGTATTGTATTCGTTATAAAACATAATTAGCCCTTAGTTTCACATGCAGCATCCCAACATTAAAACCCAATTATTGATTTCCTTGCTTAGCACAGAATTTTCTATTGTTTTGAAACTTTAGACAAGCGTACCAGTCGTGAATTTCTTTTCATGTCCTTCAATTGAGTACTTAATTTATCCAGTTCTGTTTGATGCACTTCCAAATATTCACTGTAAAGAAAACAACAGCAATGTTATATTCCCATACGAATCTAAATAAATAAAACGTAAGTTTTTAAAGATGAAGCATTATTTCTTTACAGAGTAAATATTTGGCTGAAATAGATACTTTTACTTATAAATACAGTTCACCCGTGAAAAGGAAGACAGAAAAGTCAAATTTTGCAGATGTGATTTATAAAATATAAATAAAAAAATTACTGATATGCATAAAACTTTCTCATTTAGGTTCACCGTGTCCTCAGAGGACCACAGAAAGCTGCAATAACCTCTCGCATCAAAATCACATTTCAGTTTGCTTAACAACCATATTATTTGCGACAGGTTAGATTGGAAAAAAGGGGTATTTATAATAATCAGTTAAAGGTGGCCAGATCACAATGGACATGCTATTCTTTCTAGGTTTCAAAGACAACTGACAAAACCCTAGATACTGTAACATTACTCTCACCCAATCCCTAAAGTAAGTTGACCAACATTTTTAGAAACACTGTTAGAAACAGAATTTCCTCATTATTGTTACAAACCATGCTAAATGCAAGACATTAGCATAGCATGCCATATCCCCTAGAGTTAATTAAACACAGAATCATTTGGACATCAGCTGAAATAACAAAAGGCAGAGATTCTTGCAGCTATTATGCACTAAAACCAAAGATAAAAGGCATCTGTTGGACTGAAACTATCCAGATGACTAAACACCTATGGATTGTGCAAATCTATCTTTAGGCTATCAACAAACTAGGTACTTTTGCTGGTTGGAAACTGATTAGCTATCTTTGACATCAGAAGATAAGTTCTTGTTTATCACACAGAACTTTTTTTTTCCTTTCTGAGCAGTACATCCAGCAGTAATAAAGCTCTTACTCCAATCCATTCTTCAAGGCCTTGTAAACTTCCTCCACTCTTTCAGGTTGCGGCTCCTTAGCTGAGCTGTTACTTTTGTGCCCCAAATGGTGTGCTTTCTTCACTTTGGCTTGGGGTTTTTTGAGTATAGGGGAATTCTCAATGAAGGAATTACATCTGCAAAATGGAAATAGAAAGAGTTTTGCCTTGGAAACAAATACCTTAACTGTAGAATATTTTAATATTTTCTAAGCAGCATTTCCTAATGTTTCCAAGCAAAAAATAAAGTTGCCTGCCAGTGAAGTAAAAGCTGATGGGTTCTGAAGCCATCGTAGCAATTGGCTAGTCAGCACCTGATATTTAGCTTGATAATGAGTCCAAGTGCTTTTATCATTCAGTTCATTTATTTACTTAGATCTGTACTATGACCCATTGTAAAGATTTAGTAGAAGTAACAACAACTTAAAATACACCATACATATTCAATAAAATTAAGAAGCTTGATGAACAACTATTATTTGCTTGGTCACTTACAATGGTAAGTGGCATCACAGGCTTTAGTAGCCATTAGCCATTTTAACTCATTTTTAGCAGACCTCTAATTAAAAACAAAAACATGATCTCAATGAGCTAAGCAACTTTGAATTTGCTTAGCCCATTTGAATTAAACTTGTGCAGGGAGATTCCCTGGGAGCTTCAGCCAGCATCAAGTTTAATCCTTGCTGCAAAATGCAGCCTTAAAAAAACCCCAAAGATTTGTAAAACTTCTATCAAAAAAAGCGAAAGAGTTTTAGTATTAATGAACGATCACTTAAAAAGCACAGTGCAAGAAACATAGAATTAGAGGTAAACCCTTTCTCAAAACATAATAATATACATGACTTTCAAAAGACAGGGTCAGCAGTAGGTTTGAAAATTGTTTAGGCAGATATCCTTGCAAAGTGGTGGACTGTAACAGGCTGCAGCCATGTTTCTTGATCTAATCATCATATATTTCCCTAAGGCATACATATCATTGTACAGAGCACTGTGGGAGATCTAATATGCTCAGTATTAAATAAAGAATGACATTTAATAAGGAGATCTATTCAGATCAATGTAGCCACTCAGCCTTATGAAATATTGCTGTAAATGGTTACTTGGACCTAGTGTATAACTAGGTATAAAAAGAATCAAAATATTTAACAAAGCAAATAGTCTGACTCAGCCTTATGTTTTTTTATCTTTTAATGATTGTGGAGGATGTTTTCATTTTCAGCCCACCTTTCCATTCCATCCTGTAGAGCTGATGGAAGCTTATTGCAGTAAAAGAGGAGATTAGATCAAGTAGATAACCTTTGACAAAGCTTGTCTAGTAGTTGTTTAAATGGCTATTTTGATCACAAACAGACTGTCAGATTTATAACAGAGGCAAAGATACCACTGAAATGAGAACAGATCTCCAGAGCTTAAAGTGGTTGAGATTCATGAGTTTTTCTTCAGTTTACAGCTTGACTTTTGAGATGATACTTGCCTGGATCGTCTTTCTTGAAGACCACTGAAACCAGCAAAGGATTGACTTCTAATGATCCCATTAGGGCCTCCTGGGGAGAATGAATGAGATCCTACTGACATGATTTCTGGGGATCGTGAAGGTATTTCTGGAAGACACAACAGTAAGAATATCAACCAAAATGGTAAGATACAAGTGGGTTTAAATCAAGTCCTAACAAACAAACAACAAACATTTGTATGTATGTATATATAAAACAACTATAAATATATAATAAATATAATTGTTAGGGCTTGATACTGTATTCAAGTGGATTAACAAGTTCAGTTGTTCAATAGCATTTGTATCAATGGCATATCCAATACACTGCTAGAATTAAAGCCATGTCCATATACTATTAGATTAAGAAACCATAAACTAGAAATTCAAGCTTGACAGATTATTTTGCTTAAGAATCTTTACATCCATTAAAGATAACGCAAACCACCCTAAACAAAATTAGGGTAAAACGTAGGCTTAGGTGCTAAATCGAGAACCATTTGGAATTACACAATAGAAATTCTTGTCCACAGATATTAAGAAAGAAGAATCTTTTTTTCTTTTTTAGAAACTTAAAACTATGACATTAAAATTAAATATTGACTTTCAGTAGTTATTTACATGCTTACTTAGAAGAAAATAATCACAGTAAGTATATATAGGACTGTAAGATTAGCAAACTATAAAATATTTTAACTTCTTGAAAGTGCTGAGAAAGGAGCCTAATTATATAGTTGCTGAGGAAAAAATATATAGAGAATTTACAAAAGTTAAAAGAACATTATAGAATTCCTAAACAACAATTGATAACTAACTCCTATTTAATACAAACCTTATATTTATCTCATGACCAATATCAGGCAAGAACTCTTTCTATGCAATATAGCTACACTTCTAAACAGAGGCTTTGAAAGAAAAAGCAAACCACTCTTTAGTCCTGGAAAGAAGACAGAGGTATCTGCTGGGGCATGACGGAAAAAAGTTAAGACGGCTTAAGCAACCATGCAATCAAAGCCCAGCTCTTTTTTGCCTGCCATCTTGGCAACTTGGCCATCTTGACAACTGAGACGGAACTCTAATGATTCTTATATTAACCATTGTTGCTAATCACAGGGATCTAGTCCTAGTTGGCTCTGCCTGGAGTAGAAGATAATAGTATTTTAATCATAAAAAGAAATGAAGGAGAAATATCCCTATGATGATCCTGCTACTCGGAGGGGTCTGAAAAACAATCTAGAGGGCTATGTTTGTATCAGAGCAACATGAAAGATGCTACATAGATCACCACCCACCCGTTTCTGCACAAGGGGTGACATATGGCTAATAGTTCAATTATCAGCAGAGATGTAATGGGATTTTACGGATAGAAAATAAAATAAAATCTTGAAGTACCTCTACTGAATACATATGTCTTTGGGCAAATTTAGATTGTTTTGGACATAAAAAAGAGAACTAGAACCTTGTAGAGACCGTACTGCTGTTATCATTCAAACCATATTCATTTAGAGATGTAAGTATGCAGAATCTTAAAAGAAACTGTAACACTTTGGCTTCTTAGTATTTCGTACTATTTTGGTTGTACTTCTAAAATAAGCTCCTAAAAGTTGTCCTGAATTCAAAGGAACTTTAAAGACATCAAGGATAAGCTTGATTACTGTTGTGACAGTTCTAAAATTGCAATGGAACTTTTATGACAGAAGCAGCATTTTAAAATGAATTATATAAGATGTTCTATAAGCTCAAAGATGTTCCTAGGACAGCTGAAACTGGGTTTTTCTGAGATTGTCAACATTACTACTATTTATATAGTAGATAAATCCATAAAAATTTAATACAATAGTATATCCATAGTATAGTATACTACCATATACTATAAATCCATTAATCATGTTATAATTCAAATTTCCAATCTAATTTTGATCTTAAAATAGATCAAAATGGGTAACTCTTTGTAAGACCTATGGATTCCTATATCAACTCAACTTAAACTCCCAACAGATTCCAAATATAAATTTATTTAGGGTCACAGTATGGCACATGAGCTGTTGCCTGGCTTATATGAGGAGCATTCTCTTAAATGTTTACTGTAAATGGATTTGTTAAGAAAAAAAGCTTAAAAACATTGTCAACTTGTACTAGTTCAATGGCAAGAATTTCTACAGCACATAAAACAGAAGGATAATCAGGAAAGGTTGTTAGTCATGAAGAGCTAAATTGCATATGGTAAGCTGCTTCACAGTCAAAGCCTCTTCTTGTCAGAATAAAATAAAACAATGCCAACATCATGTGTTCCATCATGTTCCTGTTAAAGCACATAAGGAACAAGAAACTCATAGTTGTTATAAAATGGGTGTCTGCCAAACTGAAGAGAGATGTTTGCAAGATAATGAGTGAAAAATCAGCAGAATAATTTATGTACAGGAAAATACATAAATTTAATAAAACCAATTGAAGTAATCATCAACGGAGAACCAAAACTAGAAAAAAGGCAAAAGAATACCTACATACATTTGCATGCATATAATGTAACCTCTAATGTCATATATCTCAACTATGTCCTTATATTTAAAAAAAAATTATTGCTGTTGTACAAGCTTTACACTTAAGTGTTTAGTTTTTCTTAGTCATATTAAATCTTTTTTTTTTTTAATTTTCAAGATTTAAATTCTTAGTAATCTAATAAGTTAAAGGAGTCATTTCATAAAGAAAGGACCTAACCTTGAAAAGAAAACTCCACTATGGAAACCTCCAAGTAACTTCATCAGTCAAAATAAAAATTAGTTAGGCAGAGTCAGAGAGTCGTTGGAATGTACCAACTTTTGCCACACCAACTGCAGGGGGTTTCTCCCCAAAATCTATTTCAATATGTCAATGAAGACTGATGAAGTTATTTGGATGAGTAACAAAATGTTTCAGATTAATAAACTTTGGTCCAGTTGCCATGATTTAATCTTTTTAGATATTTTTGGCCTGGATGATTGAGTCTTCATAGACATATTGATATACATTTTGGGGAGAAAGCCCTGCATTGGTGTGGCAAAAGTTAATACATTCCAACGACACTCTGATTCTCTGCCTAACTAATTTTTAATTTTGACAGATGAAGTTAGTTGGATAAGTAACAAAACATCTCAAATTAACAAACTTTGATCCAGTTGTCATGATTTAATTTTTTTAGATGAAATCTCCAATATTTTTTTCAAATCTTAGGATCCTTATGAATAGAATTTGAACATAATTGGTCTAGAGATTTTACTTCCTTAAAATGATTCATTTTCAAACTGAAAACAAATATGATGCAGATCCTATTTGCAAAATATCTAGCAAAAAGATTACAATAGCTAGTAGATAATTCTTCTGAGACATTCCTTTCCTACAGTAAAATAATGGCATTCCATTACTTTAAACTCATAGCCTTTCACTACCCTTACCATCACTGGAGCACCCTCTAAGTTGATCTGTGTGGTTGGTTGTACTTTTTCATTTTTGCTAACCCCAGTCCAGGGAGCTCTTGTAGAATTTCATTTCTCAAAAAGGTCTCAGTAAACTAAGGTGCATCCCAGGAACCACACACAAGAGAGAAGGCATAGGGGGAAAATCCAATCCAACATCTTTGTCATCTCTACAATATATTCTAGGGATATATTCCTCTACATTCTACAGTCTTGCAGAGTACCAGATTGTAGTAAACTCCAAAAGAACTCTGCTGGAAATCAGATCCGTAAGATGCTTAATATGAACCATCTCCCGAAGAGGTTGATGCTGCTACTAAGTCTTGATCTGATCATGATCAAGATACGATGTTAAAGTTTTGTACTTTCATATTATATTCTCCCTGCTCCAAAGTAAAAACAGATCAAGTATGTAAACCCAGGTAGATGTCAGGCCATGCTGATATGGTGATCATAGAAACCATGAAATCACAAACCATTCCTGATCCTAAATCCAAGCATGTAGAGGTGGGATTCTACCGGTTCAGACCAGTTCTATAGAACCGGTTGTTATGATTCTGCGCAATTTGGAGAACCAGAAAATTGTGCCCCTGGCTGGCCCTACCCCTCTCCGCCCAGTCAGTCCTTATCGTGCATGCACAACATTGCATGCATGCATGACATCGTTGACTGCATTCTCCCCCATCCAGTCACTCCTTAAGGTATTTCTTTTTCACCTCTCCCGACGATCAGCTGCTCCGATGATCAGCTGTGCTGGGATCCCCCTCGCTGTCTTACTGCTTTACCCAGGAGGCTTCCCCGAGGCCCAGGAGGCCAAAAGAGGCGTGCAGGAGGGGTGCTGCTTCCCCGCGCTCTGTTTTTTGCCTTCCTGGGCCCCAGGAAAGCCTTCTGGGAGCACACTGTACATCTACTTCGACATTACCTTCAAGTTCTCAACCATAACATCTACTGAAATCTGCAAGGATAGAAGCATTCATGCTAATAGAACACTGTATCCTATATGGCCATAAGTGCAAAATACAGTATTAATTCAGTACAAAAATCAGAAACACCAGGAAAGGATTCATGACTATAATTAATTAATACCACCATTTTTCATTTACAGATGATATTCTAATATATGGCTGTTTAATTTCCTTCTGATGATGCATTTTTATGGCTGTAGTTGATCCTGTTTTTAGTATGAGTATGAAACTCCCCGAAATAATCACATGCATTCATTCTTAATTCTTTGTTATTCCTACACTAGTGCATCTATTTAATGAAGACTCTGAATAAAAGGTTTAATTCTATTTCTTCCCTTGGAGAGTTTGCAAGTAATAAATTGAAGAGGCTGAACTGTTCTGTCCTATCAATTATGATGATGTTTATATTCTGTTGATTATGGCTAATTAATAGAATTACAACTCTAAAAGTCAAAGCTATAAAATCCTTCTGAAGGATTTGAAGAACTGAAAATATTACATACACTTAAATTCATTTACTAGAAATGAATATTCTTGTACAGCTTAGCAAAGAAGCCTTAGAAGCTCTTAGTCGTACGTTCTCATCTATAATTCTATACTATGTAACACAATGATGATCAGAAATTGCAGTAGTTGTAAATATACAACATCTAAGTTACTACGAAACCCTTGATTATTATAATTATGATAGA